GACAGCGTTCAACCCGTTGTCACCTGGGCGTCTCCACAGGGCGGCTCACAACAAGGCAGCCGGTTTCCAACAGAGCAAGTGGATGAGGAGGGAAAAAGAGGGGCCTGCATAGTGGGAGCCGGTCTCTCTGTCACCTGCTCTTAGAAGTGACGTCCTGTCTCACCTGCTGTATTCTGTCCATTAGAAGGAGGTTACTAGGTCCAGTGCACATGGCAGGGGAGAGGACTCTGCAGGGGCACAGGGACCCGGAGGCAGGACCACAGCTCACGGTGAGAAACCGTGGCCTGACTACCCTCTCTCCAAATGCGCTTCTGGCTCCAGGAAATGACCGCAGTGACAGTCCTGGGCCTCTGTCCCTCAGTGTGGCCTCAATGTGGCCTTGGTGCGGCTTCCTAGGTGGTTTTAGGTGTCCTGGGCCCTGGTCCAAAGCTGCCTGGGGCTCTGAGGTCATGACCTTTGCTCCTCCCACCCTTCCAGGAAGAAGGATCTTAGGAACCCCCCATGGGTGGGCATGAGAGTTGGGTGCCCTGGGGTTGGGGAAAAGGGCTCACCCAGCTCTGCTTTAGGCTGACAGGTCCTGATTGCTCTTTCCCTCCCCTGACTCACCAGAGAAGGGTGACCTGGACCACGGTCACTCAGTGGGCTGATGGCAGGGTGGGCACCCTGTCCTGAGTGGAGACACAGGAGGCAAATGTTCATCAAAAAACAGTGCACTGCCCCATTCGAGGAGAAGAGAGCACAGAATCAGGCCCCCAACCCACATGGAGGCGACCTGCCCTCCCTCCTGGGGGTTGTGAGCACAAGACCTGGATGCGGGGCTTGGCCTGGGAGGTGCTTTCTGTGATTGTCAGTACCAGGGGGCAGTAGCCGGGGAAATCAGCAGAAGAGCAGAGATGGAAGGAGACGGGGCCAGACAGACAGAGACAGAGAGACAGACAGACGCAGAGAGGGAGGGAGGGAGGGAGCGGCAGGGAAGATTGCAGTTCAGGGACAGGAAGCCAAGAAGCTACTGCGAATGGGCTGAAGTGGAGTGTGTGGACCGTCCTGCCCAGCACTGGCATCTCCCAGGAGAGCCCAGAGGTCGTCCTTGAGGTGCTTACATCTGGCCCTGACAGTGAGGGGGCCCTGGAAGCTGGCAGCCTGTCCCTGAGCCCTGCTGAGGGTGGCAAATGCTGGCTGGAGCCCCCAGACAGCTGTGCAGAGGGGGTCAGACCTGAACCTCCCCTCCCCCCCACCCTGCTCCCACAGAAGAGGGCACAGCCTGTGGGCACCACACACCTACCTCACCAAGAAGGAGTCAGTGCAATGGGCGTGCAGGGGGCCCCTCCACCCCCGGGCTCAGAGTGGCACAAAAGGCAGCTGCTCTGTTCTCCGGGCTGTCCCCACGCCGGGGTGCGCCTCAGGCGCTGTCTGGCCTTAGAGGTGGATCCCCGGCCTATGGAGCCTGTGGGGTCAGGCCTGGAGCCCTTCTAGACTGCTGGCCCTTGGCTTCTTGCTGGCCATGTGCGGCCCTGGCAAGCTTTGGCGAGGGGGGTGTGCCACACAGCCACCCCTCCCCACCCTGGGCAGGAACCCCCACCTCCCCCCACACACACACTCTCCTACTTCCCACAAACTCTTCAAGGGAAGTTTGGGCTTCTGGAAATAAAATCACTCCGAAAAAAACACTCACCTCCCCTGAGGCTAGGAGGCAAATGTGCGCTAAAAAGAGAAGACAGGGAATGGAAGAGGGAAACATAAGGAAGACAAAAAAAAAATCTGTAATAACGTATCCAAGTTGAATCTGGCATCGCGTGGAAGTGAGGAGCTGAGGCGGAAGTGGAAATGGTGCAGCCGCTCTGGAAACCCGGAGCCAGAGGCCCGCGAAGAATGTAACAGAGAATGACCCGGTGACCCAGCAGTTCCACTTCTGGGTATAAAGACCCAGAGAAAGGAAAACAGAGTTTAGACAGAGGCGTGGCAGCATCAGTCACAGCAGCCAAAGGTGGAGACGACCAGGCGCCATGAACCGGCACACAAGAAGCGGTGGACCTGCACAGCGAAGGTCGTCCAGCCCCAAAGGAAGGCAATTCAGACACATGCCACGACACGGATGACCTTGGAAGACATCCTGCTGGTGAAATAAGCCACTCACAAAGGGACACACGCTGTGTGATTCTGCTCTTTCGTGGCCCCTGGAGGAGTCACGGTCAAGGAAAGAGTAGAAGGGCGACTGCCCAGAGCGGGACGGGGTGGGGAGGGGGCGGAGTTACTGCTCGGGGGCTCAGGGTTTCCGCTTGAGAAGGTGGATGGAGGGGCTGGCGCACAATGTGCATGTACCCGATGGCCCTGAACTGCACGCTTCAAGTGGTTAAAATGGTAAACTTTAGGTTATGTATATTTTACCACCATTTGAAAAATACGTGGCTAATAATGTGAGAGGCTCAAAGTCAGCAGAGGGCAGGGACACCCTGGAGCTGCGGGAAGCTTCCACGGGGCTCTATGCCTGATCTGGGGCCTGAAGGCTGAGGGACGAGCGACCACCGGAAGGAGGGCTGGAGCGAGGGGAGGCGGGCAGGCGGGAAGTTGTGCTGGTTGCTGGGTGGGGCCCAGAGCACCCAGGGGCTTGCAGGCCACCATGCTGGTGATGAGAGCCAGCCCCAGGGAGCCTCGGAGCGGGTTGGGGCAGGCAGGGCCAGGATCGGACGGTGCTTCACATCCATGTCTCCCAGCCCAGGCGCAGTGAGAATGGATTCCAGGGGACAGGCTGGCAAGGAGACCGCGAAGAGCTTTCCCGAAGAACCAGGACCAGGGCGGGGTGGCCAGGCGAACGCGCAGAGCGCATGCCCGCCTTTGCTGCAGGCGGCCTGGGCAAGTCGCCGCCCCCCATAGGCTTGCCAGATTTAGCAAATAAAAATTTGAATTTCAAATGAACCAAGGATAACTTTATAGTGTATGTCCCAAACATTGCATGAGACATCCTTACACTAAAAAATTTGTTCGTGGCTTATCTGAAATTCATATTTCACTGTGTGCCCTATTTTCTCTGGCAGCTCTACTCTGCAGAGTCACTGATGCCCTTGCACGGCTATCTCCCTCTTGTTCATTAGGCCCCGGCTGAAAGGACTCCCCAGCGAGGCCTCCCCTGACCACCTGGTGGAAGGCCCTCCCCCTCCTCTCCTCCACCCCAGCATCACTCCAGTGCGTTCCCCACGCCCCTGTCCGCCCCGCCCCCCCACCATTGCCTTCCTGGTGCTCCCACGCCCCTATGCGCCTGCTGTTTATTAGCCGTCTCCAGCTCTGAGATATATAGGTTGGTGAACTCAGTGACCTGTCACTCCTGTATCCTCACCACCCAGCCTAGCACAGGGTAGGGGCTCAACAAATATTTATTGGAAGATAAGAGGGATGCCTCCGTGGCAATCAAGAAGGGGAGGGAGAGGCTGTGGGGGCACTGCACACTTGTTGGGTGTGCCCCCCACCTCCTCCCACCAGCCACTTGCCCATCTCCAGTGAGGCTCAGGGACCGAGCTGAGCCCAGCCTGGCCCTGCTGGCCACACCCTCCTCCCTGAGGACCAACCAGCCTCTTGTCCACGGTTCCCTTGACAGCCATGTTACCATGGCAACAGCAACCCGAGTTCCTCCGCACTAGAAACAGGAGGAGGCCTCTCTCCGGGAAAACCCACCACTGAGTCAGAGTCTAATTTTCCCTGCAGCCATGACAGTGGCTTTGCACAACCACATGTATATTAGTGCCAAACGTCCCCGTGTTTACCTGGTCTAAAAGTAATGAATTCAGGTCTAAATAAAAAGTGCTGATGGCTAAAGCTTTTCATTTTTTTCAAATGTTCCTGGGTGTTTTTGTTGTCGATGTTGTTTTTGTCTTTTTTAAGTCAGTCACTCTCCTTGGCAGCAACTTGCTTTTAATCCCATTATTAATGAGTAAGAGAGGTGAAAACAAAGCAGGTCGGTCCCCCAGGGGCAGGTGACCGCAGCCAGAGAGCTGGGCGCTGGCTCCCCAGCTGTGGAGGGGCCAGTGTGGGCACCAGTCACGGCAGCACCACTTCCCCGTGTGACCTGGAACAGCCTGTTGATGTCCAGGGCACCATCTCTGGCCCTCTCTGGGCCTCTGGCCTCACCCTAAAGGGCAGGAGGAGAGCTGCTCTTCCCCAAAACAACGCCACTGGGAACTTACCCCAAGGCGAGAAACCCCAGGTTTTGCGGTACACCCTGCACTCCTTCCATCCTTCCAGCAGGCACATAGCAGTTCTCCTTGGCCATGTGAAGGTGGGCCACCCCCATCTCTGGACCCCAGAGTTCAGGCCTGGCCCATCTGAGCGTGGCAGGGCCTGTGGATTTTGCCAGACTGTCGGGGAGAGAAGCTTTCGTTCACCTAGGGACAGGTACACAGCCCAGAACCCTGGGCTGCTGGTGGCCACTAGGAGAGGAGAGAGGCAAACGTAGAAGGAAGCAGAGCCAAGAGGTGGGAAGAGATAGTGTCCTGACAGCTGGAGCCCTTGATCCAGCTGCACCTGAAGCCAACACCTCCTCAGAGGTCATTAGCTACTTAATTCCTTCTTGTTTCTTTCTTCCCTCCCTCCCTTCCTTTTCTCTCTCTGGCTCTTTCTTTCTGTTTTTCTTAAGCTCCTTTGAGTGGAGTTTTTGTCCTTTCCAGCCAAGAGAGTCCTGATAAGATGCATAATGTGAATTCTGGAAAGAGCACCAAAGATGAGTAGGTTATTATTCCCATGTGACCCTTTCACCTAGGTCCAGCGTCTCAGCTACAGAACCAGAGAGTGCGAGCCAGGCCCTGCCTCCTCCCCAGCCCAGCACTCCCTGGCCCACACCCTGGCCAGGAGAAGACCCTTCCATGGGGTGCTGCTGTAGGTCCCAGACACCCTATACCCCCAGCCTAGGCATGACGGAGGACCCCTCCCCTGGGAGACCCCCACAGCTCTGCACCCACCTGCAGAAAAACCAGCACAGTCACACAGAGAAATTCTGAAATAGGCTTCTGGGTTTTTATTCAAAACAACACTGGTGGCAGCTGCCACTTGGTTTCTCTGTGCCCGGGCCATCTGGGCCAGCAGGGACCAGTGCCGTCAGCAGCTAGGAGGGAGGTTCGTTCACACCATAGAAACTGTACAGCAACTGGGAGTACGGTAGTCACAGCGGCAGAGCCAGGCCAAGGGCTTCCCGGAGGAGGCGGCCTCTGCCTCCCCCTCAGGCCCCAGCTCACCCTGGCTCCACCAGGAACACGGATTATTGCACAAAGACGAAAAGAGTATGTGTATCTGGGCTAAACAGAAGCTTCTAAGACCCCAAGCCCTTACACAGCGCAGCGAAGGGGGCCAGAGGCGACCCTGGAAACAGAAGGCCCCCCAGGGAGGGCCCGGGGGGAAAGATGGGCAGACGGGCTGGCACTGTGCACACTTTATCTTTTGGGGTGCCGCCTGGTGCAGGAGAAGGATGGACAGGCGACGGGAAGAGGCTTTGGCTGGGGTAGGCCGCAGCCCCAGCTGGTCCTAGGTCCATCTGTGCAGATGCCATGGTGCCTGCCAGCTGCCACTCTGCAGAGCCCTGCAAACAGAAAGCTTGGGGTGCTCCACACCAAGGTCCCTGCTTGCCCTAGGCCAGGCCCGTGGTAAGGTTGTGCTTTTGTGACGGACAGGCTATAGAATCAGGAAGGGCAGAGGGGCCATTCACCCCACTCTATCCATGTCAGCTGGTCCAGGCCAGTCGCACAGCCTCGGTGTCCCCGGGGCCTTGGACCAGCACTGGGGCCCTCCGGGAACCAGACCCACCTCCCGTGACTCCCCAGGCAAAGCTTCTCTCCTCTGCGCTTGGCTGGTCCCGCTCTGCTCTGGCCTGCCCTCTCCCCTTCCTGCCTTTGCTCTGGTAAGCCCCTTTGCCCGGATGTCCCTCCCCACATGCCTGCTTGTTTTGGGACCACAAAGTGTAGGGTAAAAGGATGGCTTCCCGTCAGGCACACCCAGGATGTTTTCTAACCAGCCATATATAACCCAGTGACAAGGAAATCACCTCCCTGCTCCATGCACGCCACTCTGGGCCACTGTGCATATTAAACAGGGTGCGCCTGTGCCCAGGAAGTGTGAGCTGCGGACAGGTGCCGGACACAGTCCCCCTGAACCCGACCAGGTGAGCTCGAGCCCAGGTAACTTCCTCCACATGGGCTTCCCAGGCCTCACTGCCTGCCCCCAGCCAGGCTGCTGCATGCGAGGCCCTCCCTCGAGGGCCATGCTGACTAAACATGCTGACTAATGTGTGTGCTGCCCCCTCTAACTCAACTGCTTGGAGCCCCCACGGTGCTGGTGGGGAGAGGGTGAGCCAGACAGGCCTCCCTGTGCCCACTCCTCCCCAGATGAGCATCCCACAGAGAACCAATCAGCAGAGCAAGGAAGGCTGGCCCAGCAGCGTCGGCCTTGTGCACAGCCTCCCCACCAGCTTTGGGGACACCTGGGGCAGAAGGTGACAAGACCCCATGTCCACCTGCTCCCTGAGAGAAAGGACCGGGCTGAGCCTTCACCCCAGAGGCTGCCGTCCCAGGAGGGAGCCCAGTGCTGGGGCTGAGCGTCTATATTCTCACCGAGGCCCACCATCCACGCTTTGGAGTGAGGAGAGGGAAGCTCTTGGGGTGCAGGGGCAAATCCAGTCCTGACTGCTACGCCAGCCCAACTCCACGGTACCACCAGAGGCCCTCGGCCAGGCTCTGCCTCCCGATCCTTACATTCCAAGTACTCAGGTGTTGGCTCACCCGGCTGGGGAGACACGCAGCCTCTTTGCTGCCAGGGCACTGAGGGATCCTGGGCTGGCCGCTCTGCCTCTTCCCCCCTCCACCCCCAGCTATTGAGAGAAGGGCTCTCCAGCCCACTGAGCTTCAGTCACTCGTTACCTCCTCCCTTTGCTACAGTGTCCAGGCTCCAAGGGTGGCTATGCCAGCCTGGGAGACACCCAGAGCCCGTCCAAGCAGCTACACCTACCTCATATCACTTGGCAGCCTGGGCCAAAGCCAAGTACTTTAAGGTCAGGGTTTGGGACAAGGACAGACCCACCTAAGACCGTCTGAGATCTCGAAGGCCAAGGGCCTGGTTATTGCTGAAGTGCAAGGTGCCCCAAACTCACAGCAGTTCCCACCCCACAACTCTGCCACCATGTTCCCAATCTTCTTGACACTGATCTACTCACTTCTAAAAACTCAGCCTTGACTTAAGCGATACGTTTGTGAAATCGTGGGTTGGGCACACTGCTTTCTTCCTAATAAATACTGAAATAAATGCATAACTCTTTCAAGAAAAAAAATGCCTGTCTGCAAATGTGTTTGAATAGCATTTCTACAGGGAACCTGACCTCCAGCTTTGGGAAGGTGGGGAAAATGAGCCGGGTGGGGGGTGGGGCAGGGTCTCCAGGTGACAGGGTATGAAGGAGCTGAGGAGGGGAGCTGGTCCCAGGCAGCTGCCCCACCCCTGCTCCCACCCAGAGAGTGAAAGGCTGTGGCCAGCATAGACCAGGCGGTGCCCTTGACCTACTCAGGGCCTGCTCACCCCCCTTCACTGTCCTCCATCTCCTGCTGCCTCGGTCCTGCCCACAGCAGGCCACACCCTGGAAAGGGCCCACTGGGACAGGGGCCTGCCCCCTGCCCAGCCTGGGAGCTGCTCGCCACCCCGTCCCAGCCCTAAGAAAATACAACTATTGCCCCAGATTTTGCTAGAGAAACACAGCTGGGTGACTAAGAGTTTGTGGATTCTGGGAGCCTACAAAAGACTGTCCACGCAGCTAGACGGCCAGGAACAAGACAGACACCCCAACACGTGGGGGAAGGGGGGATCTTAGCAGCATCTCTTCTTTAAAGGAAAAAACGCACCCTGAAATGACAGCTCTTTTTCTGGGCCTGTCTCCTGGACCATAGGACCCTCAGAGAACGGACAGCCCTCTCCAAGCTACTCCAGGGGAGATGCCAAAAAGCAGGGGTGCCCATGTCCCAGCAGGACCATCTACCCCAGGGCAGGTTTGGCCTGGGCCCCAAGCATCAAGCAAAAAGCCTTGTCTGGGCCCCAGACTCTCCCCAACTTTAGCACTTTCTGGAAGTCGTAAACTCTCAGTAAAAAAAATAAATATATATATATATGTCTGTCTCTCTCTATATATATGCATACATATATATATACATGTATCTGCATGGGAAGGACCGTGGCCAGGCCACGCTGGGCCTCAGCCCACCAGCGTGCTCTCAGCAGCCTGGCGCTGGCTGGCCCTGCGCGGTGCCCAGGCTGTGGACCAAGTATTGCTGTCTTCCCCCTGGCTCCTGAGGTAAAGAAGGCGAGACGGGGCAGGCGGCGGCGCTGGGCCCCTGCAGCCCTCATCTCTTCCTCTTGCTCGCAGCGTCTTTGGACTGCAGCTCTCCCGGGGGCTCGGCCGGGCCTGGCGGGTCCTTGCTGCGGTCCGCGGCCCAGGAGGGGCTCCGGGCCAGGCCATGGGGCCCGACGGTGGCGCGGGGGCGACCGGGGCCAGTGGCCAGGCTGCTGGTGCTGCTGAACCTCCTGGTGGGCGGGGGCCCTGGCGGCGGGGGCGCGCAGAGGAGGGAGGTGAGCGAGAGGCTGCTGAGGGTCTCCGAGTGCTCGCTGCCCCCGCCCCCCACGCCGCTGCGGCCAGCGCACTCCTCATCCGAAGGGTCCATGGAGTCATGGTGGGTGCATCCCGGGCTGGTGGAGCCCCCGCTGCTGTGGCTGCGCTGATGCGCGCCCAGCCCGCGCCGGCTGAACAGGCCCCGGCCCCGAAGGCTGAGGCGGCGGCGGGCGGTGGGAGACAGGCCAGCCCGGGGGCCGGGTGTGGGCGCAGGCGGCCCCAGGGCGCACCGGGGGCTGTCACTCAGCGTCAGGCTGTCCTCCAGCGTGGTCTGCAGGCTGCCCGCCGAGCTGCTGCGGCTGGCCTCCAGGGATGTGTCACTCCCAGTGGCCTGTGGGGGGACACAGGGGATAGGGGCCGCCTGGTGTCCCCCAACCCTCCCCTGCAGCAGCCTGCCCACGTCAGTGACCAAGCGCTGGGGGCTCTCACCACCATCACTGCAGTGGCCTCCTCAGGGCTCTCCCCCCACCAGCCCCCTTCTCTGGTCCTCAGGGGGAAGCCAGGGTCATCCTACTGGAACCCAATCAGACCCTGGCCTCAGGGCCCTGCCCCACCCCTCTGGGACCTCATTTCCCACAGAAGTCCCCCCACCCCACCCCCACCTCTGCTCTGCCTGCTGCCTGGGAAGCTCTGCCCCAGAGACTCTCGGCCCCCTCGGGCCTTCCCGGCCCTCTGCCTGAACCACGGGCTCGGCCCGTGGGCCCTTCCTGTGCAGTGTCCTCCCCGGGGCGTGTCCCATCAAGCAGACAATACTCTTTGTGTGCTGATTTCAGCTTTTCACCCCTCCTCTCACATCTCTGACACACACACGCACTACACACACTATGCACGAGCCATAAACCGCAGGGGCAGGGATTCTGCATTCGTAGCTGCTGCAGCCTCCAAGCCTAGCATACAGCCTGGCACATAGCTGGGGTCAGCAGCCACCAAATGGACAAATGCCCTGGAGAGCCCCGGGCCCCGCCCTGCCTCCACCACACTGTGGGGCACAGAATGGGGCTCTCGGGCCTGCAGGTTCCTCTGCACGCCCAGGTGGTGACCCTGCAGGCCAGACCCTCCCATCCCGCAGACCTGCTCCCCCACCTAGAACTCCAAGGCCCCATCAGATGCCCCCCAGTGAGGGAGCTCTCGGAGTCGAGGAGGTGCCATACCTGCCGGAGGAGGGTACAGTTGACACTCGGTGACCGCAGGGATGCCCAGGAGCCCTGCAGGGCGATCTTGGGGAGGGTCCCTGCACTGGCACCCTTCTCCTGCCCCTTCTGGCTGGCGGACACAGCGGGGTGGAAGAACTCCGTGGGCATGGGCAGGAGTGGGCTCGAAGGTGCTGCTGGGGAGGAAGGAGAGGGAGCTGGGAGCAGGCACGGGCTGGCAGAGGGGTACCGAACAAGCCGCCTATGAGACTACGGGTAAGTCTCCCTCTCTGAGCCTCAACGTCCCCACTGTGAAAGCAAGAGAGAAATGGTGAGCCTGCCCGTGTCGTTCCTGGGAGGTCAGGCACTGGGCAAAGGCACAGCTTTTGAGCCACGTGGACCCGGCTCTAGGACCCCTGGGTTCCTGCCTCTGTGAAACAGTGACCAGATGCCTCCCCCAAGAGGTGGCGAGAATGAGCAAAGCAGAAGTCATGAGTGCGGCCCGCCAGGGTCTGACGCCCCACGGGGCCCAGCCAAGGCTGGGGGCCCATCTGGGACAGCGGGTGGGGTGGGCACTGTGCTGGACGGGCTGAGCCAACAGAAGGACACTGCTGGGTCTGTCTGGCCCGCTGCACCGGGGTGGACAGGGGCGAGGATGGGGTGAGGGGAGAAGGGAGGCCAGGCCATAGGGACGGCCAGGAGCCGCTGCTCACGGTCCCCTCGGTTCGTGCCTTCCAAGGTGTGGATGGGACGAAGGAATTGGGGAATATTCTCTCCCAAGGTGGCTGAACAGCTTGACTATCCCCAGGTGCAAAGACTTCTGTTCTATGTCATCTTATGATTTAAGGAAAATATAAACAAATGGTTAATGAATGGGATGAGGTTTCATTCGATCAGAATGGCTCTTGGCCCTGGATGGTATAGCTCAGTGAATTGAGTGCCAGCCAGCCTGTGAACCAAAGGGTCACTGGTTCGATTCCCAGTCAGAGACCATGCCTGGGTTTTAGGCCAGGTCCCCAGTTAGGGGCACACGAGAGGCAACCACTTGATGTTTCTCTCCCATTCTTTCTCCCTCCCTTCCCTTCTCTCTAAAAATAAGTAACATCTTAAAAAAAAAAAAAGGGAGAATGACTTGTAGGTCAGTCCTGTGCCCTGACTTTGGTTCAGGAAGTCTGGGGTCCTCGCACCTCAGCCACTGTGTCCAGTCCAAAGGCCACCGGTTTTAGGGGAGGTCCTTGGGATAGTCACTGCACCACCGGCTCCTGGAAGGGGTGCGATGCCAAGCCTCCCACAAGAGTACGGAGGTGAGCTCAGTGGCTTCTCATCTGCTGAGCTCATCCTTCTGTCCCCCTCCTCAGCCAGTACTGTCATCACAACCAGACTCCTGTCACCCTCCAACGGAACCCGAGGTGGAGGTGAGCCCTCGAGATAAACAGGCCGGCTCCGTCCTCTGTCCTGGTGCCACAGCCGAGCCACGGGCCCAAGGCACAAGCACAGGGCGCGAAGGGAACAGACAAAGGATAAACATCAGGACATTTGCTAACGGGACACAGCAGGCGACAGGCGTTCTGTTGTCCAGCATCACCTTGTGTGAGGACCCCTGGGTACACACCTCTCAGAGTCAGCTCCAGGGACTTCCAGCCAAGATGGAGGCGTAGGTGGAAACACTGTGCCTCCTCGCACAGCCAAATTTAAGGACAACAAAGATTTAAAAACAAAAACACAACCAAAACAGACAGAAAATTGAACTGCACTGAAGTCCGACAACAACAAACTGTTCATCCAGACCGATAAACCAGGTGAAAACACGGACAGTGAGACAGACTGAGCAACCCAGGGCACCAGCACCAGGAAATAAAGCCTAAAACCACCAATTGAAAAAACTTTTGGGGGTTGAGGTGCCGGGAGAGGCTACCAGTCTCACAGGAGAGTTTGTTGGAGAGACCCACAGGATCCTAGAATGTACACAAGCCCACCCACCCGGGAACCAGCACCAGAAGGGCCCAAGTTGCTTGTGGGAAGCAGCAGAGGGGACCGAAATCCGAGAGAGAGCAGAACAAACGCCATTGCTCCCTCTCTGACCCAGCTCCCAGTCACAACCCAGCAACTGGGTTGACCCGCCCCTGTGAACACCTAGACTCCACCCCTCATACATAACAGGTGCAAATAGACCAAAACATTATAGCTCAAGCAGAAGAACAACTCAAAGCCCCAGAGCCAATACTTCTAAGCGACAAAGAGATAGACAGCCTATCGGATGCACAGTTCAAAACACTGGTGATCAGGATGCTCACAGAACTGGTTGATTTTAGTCACAAATTAGATGAAAAAAATGAAGGCTACACTAAGTAAAATGAAGCAAAATGCACAGGGAACCGATAGTGATGGAAAGGAAACTAGGACTCAAATCAATGATGTGAACTAGAATGGCTCTTGTCCCTGGACGGTATAGCCATCCAACCAGAAACATCCAACCAGAAAAGAATGAAGAAATGAGAATTCAAAAAAAGAGGAGAGGCTTAAGAACCTCCAAGACATCTTTAAACATTCCAACATCTGAATTATAGGGGTACCAGAAGGGGAAGAGGAAGAGCAACAAGTGAAAAAGTTACTTGAACAAATAATAAAAGAGAAATTCCCCAATCTGGCAAAGGAAATAGACTTCCAGGAAATTCAGGAGGCTCAGAGAGTCCCAAAGAAGGTGGACCCAAGAAGGAACACAACAAGGCACATCATAATTACATTAGCCAAGATTAAAATGAAGAAGAGAATTCTAGAAGCAGCAAGAGATAAGGGGACAGTCACCTACAAAGGAGTGCCCAATCAGAAGATCTGATTTCTCAAGAGAACTTACAGGCAAGAAGGGGCTGGAAAGAGGTATTCCAAGTCATGAAATCCAAAGACCTACAACCAAGATTGCTCTATCCAGCAAAGCTTTCATTTAGAATGGAAGGGCAGATAAAGTACTTCTCAGATAAGGTCAAGTTCAAGGAGTTCATCATCACCAAGCCCTTATTATATGAAATGTTAGAGACTTATCTAAGAAAAAGAAGATAAAAAAGATGAACAGTGAAAGGACAGCAAACTCACAGTTATTAACAACCACACCTAAAACAAAAGCAAACTAAGAGGACAGCTAGATCAGGAGCAGAACCATAGAAATGGAGATCACATGGAGGGTTAGCAACAGGGGAGTGGGAGGAGGAGAAGGGGGAGAAGGTACAGAGAATAAGCATAGACAGTAGGTAGAAAATAGACAGGGGGAGGGCAAAAATCATATGGGAAATGTAGAAGCTAAAGAACTTGTGACACATGGACATAAACTAAAGGGGGAGGAATGGCGGAGAAGGTGTGTGCAGGGTGGAGGGGAATGAAGGGAGGAAATGGGACAACTGTAATGGCATAATCAATAAAATACATTTTTTAAAAAAAAGACTGAGTTGGCTGTACACTAAGCCAATTTAAGAATGTGGGGGGGAAAAGTCAGCTCCAGAAAACCCCTCAGTAACCTGGCAGCTTTCTCTCCGCTCAGGGATGGGAGCTGTGCGTGCCAATTGGTTCTCCTTTTCTCCACTGCTCCCAGGAAGCTCAGCAGGAAGCTGCCCTTAGCCCAGGCTTCTGGTATAATTTTCATCTCACCTTTGTGTTGTTTGGCTCTTGATCTTTTATCACTGTTACATCGGGCCTGAGGTTCCTATCTTTTATTGTCAGTTATTTATCTGTTTCTTTCCCGACTCAGTATAATAGCCTGGGAAAAAATTACTAAGGACAAAACTCAACCAGCTGCCTCTGAAGCAGCCGCCCAAGAACAGGGCCGTGGGGAGCAGGTGGGGGGCCCACCCCTCACCTTGGCTGCTCTCGTGTTTCAGCCAGGACCGGACAGGGTTGAACGGGATGGTCTCCATCTCACACAGGAAGTTCTCTGGACCCGAGGACACGGCCGTGCTGGACAAGGGGAAGAAGCATTCACCTAGGTCCCCCCCAAGCCCGGGCTCTGGTGGGTCCAGCTCCTCCTGCAGGAAGAGGGAGGTAGATGGGTTAGGAGGGGGCAGACCGCACAGGGGCTGAGCCCACCATAGCTGCCTGCAGGCCCCTGACCCACAGTCCTTTGCTTGGGCTGCTCTTGGGGCCTGGCATGGTCTTCTCCTCACCCTGTCCACCTGGCCAACAATCGTCATCTTCCAAAACCCAGGTGGCAGGGCCCCACCTCCAGAAAGCCTCCCCAGTGTCCCAGGCAGGTCACAGTTCCCTGCTCACTCCCTTCTTGGCTCTAAGATCCTTGAGGGCAGTGCAGGGTCTTCTTACTCAGATAAAAAATATCCAAAGTAGCCCTGTCTGGTGTAGCTCAGTGGATTGAGCACAGGCCTGCAAACCACATGATCACGGTTCAATTCCCAGTCAGGGCACATGCCTGGGTTGCAGGCCAGTTCCCAGCAGGGGACTCAGGAGAAGCAACCATACATTGGTATTTCTCTCCTTCTCTCCTTCCCTTCCTCTAAAGGTAAATAAATAAAAGTTTTAAAAAATATCCAAAGTGACAAGGAGCGGCCAAGGCCACTGGATGCCGTGCGTGGGGCCCTGGCTAAACGAGTTGCTGTGTGACCTCAGGTAAATCACTGCGCCTCTCTAAGCCCCACTGCCCCCACCTGACCCACAAGAGACGAGGGTCTGGCACACAGCAGGCGCTACTCATGTGGGGTGCTGGGGGGGACACAGTGTCCTGCCTGGGCAGGCAGAGCCCAGGCTGCAAGGGTGGGCCCGCTCGCCCCAGAGCCCACTGAGGCTCCTCACCTTGCTGCCCTGAGGGCGAAGTGGGCAGGCTGTGGGGTCCTCGAGACTCAGGTCATCGCCCAGCAGGATGGACGAGGACCTGTCTGAGTTCAGGGAGAAGGCTTCTGTCTCAGCCAGCTGCACCTGCAGGGAGGGGTAGCAGCCTCAGATCACCTGTGGAGCTGGGACCGGGCAGGCCTGGTCCCCCAGAAAGGCACAGGGTGGTGGCCGGAGAGGTCCAGAGACCTGCTGAGCATGAACGGTATGCCCACCCTGAGCAGGCAGCCCAGCCGAGGCGGGGGTGGGGGGTGGGGGAGACACGACGGCGTCACAGACCCCGGAGCCCCAGGCCTGGGCTGGGCCAAGGGCAGTGGGGTTGAGTGAGCTGTGAACTCCAAAGCGAGTCCACCTGCCCACAGGCCACGTGTCCCTGGAGACTGGCCAGTGTGAGCAAGTCCACGGGCAGCTCTCTGCCCAGAGTGAGGCTTTTCCCACAGGCCAGCCCACTGCCAGGCACCGGCCTTACCTCCTGCTTGTCATGATGGCACCTCCTACAGCTGGCCGGCGAGGAGTAGTGGTGGAAGATGGAGCCAGACAGGTTGTCAATGATGGTCAGTTCCCCCTCCAAGGAGTCCTTGATGATTAAAGAGACGCTGTCCAGCCACAGATTCTCCTAGGCGGACAGGATGGGCGGGGACAGGTGGGATTGTCACTGGGTGGGGACTGCGGGGTGGGTAGGGCACAGCTGCCCTCCCGGTTCTCTGCACCTGTGGCCTGGTGGACCCTGGGCCTGACCCTTTTGTCACAGGGTCACACAGAGCTGAGCAGCAGGGGTGGGGCCCGAAAGACAGAAATCTCTGCCCAGGCCCCTCGGGCCAGCTTCACTGGCAGCCCCCAGGTCCTGCCCTCGGTGACCCGGCCCCTGCCCACCTGGGCTGGAGAATAGCAGTGCCGGCACCGGCGGCCTTCCGAGTCACCGCCGCCACCGCCGCCGCAGGGCCCTCCCGGCACCCGGCCGGGTGCACCCGGGGAGCCGGCAGGCGGCCGTGGGCTGGGACCGAGGCCCTGGGCCATCTCCAGCTCCAGCTCCGCGTCCATCTCGGCGTCCTCCTGGGCCTCTTTGTTGCTGTCATCGAGGTGCTTCATGAGCACCGCCACCACCACGTTGATGAGCACGAACTGGGCCGTGAGCACAAAGCTGACGAAGTACAGGGGTGACACGAACTGCAGGCTGCTCAGGCAGCTGCGCTCGTCGTGGGTGCAGTCCCGCAGCGTGTCCTGGGCCGGGCAGGGAGGGCAGTGAGGACCCCGGGTCTTAGCCACAGACCCCACCTCTGCAAGCCCTGCCCCCACCCCTGCCACCCCAGGCCGGAGCCAGAGGGCCTCTGCGGGGTGATGGGCAGGGTAGGCAGTGCCAGGGCCCTGGCCCCAGGAGGAACAGAGACTTCAGTCCCCTCTGGCCCTGGGGGGAGTCACACCCCCCAGCACCTGAGCACTGGTCTGAGCACCAGCCAGCAATTAGGGCTGGACCAAGAGCACTGGCCTCCTCCGCACCTCGCTGTGATGCCCGGTCCCGGGCAGGGTCCTCTGCTCCTGGGCCCTGCCCTCCCGTCCTGTGTGCGATGGGGCGCCCTGGCCGTGGGGACTGTCACCAGCACCCTCACTCATAACCCAGCCTGAGCGCTCTCTCAACAGCCTGCCCACAAGCACCTTCATGATCCCGTTCCAGTTGTCGCCGGTGGAGACCTGGAAGAGCGTGAGGAAGGCCATGCCGAAGTTCTCGAAGGTGGCGTGCCGGCTCATGCCCTCGCACGGGTTCTCGTCATTGCAGACTGAAAGGGAAGGAGGTCAGCAGTCCGGCCGCGGAGCCTGTCCCACCACAGAGCCCGTTCCCCCGCCTCCTCTCAGAATCCCCACTACAACCCTCGGAGGTGCATGTGGACTGAGCCCAGCCCACAGACAGGGAAGCTGAGACTCAGGGAGGTGGCACCCAAGCCAGGCTCAGACTCAGGTGAGTGCAGCTCTCCTCCAGCCCTACGATCAGTTCCAAAGGGAGAGGATGGAGTGGGCGAGGGCCGGCTGCCAAGGGAGCCCTGCTTTCTGGAGCTGATCCTGTAGTGCCCTGGCTGTTCTGCTTGTAGCAGTGGCCCTGGCCCAGGATGGACAGTGGCTTGTGGGGCCGGAGGGGGCATGCCCAGGGGTCAGACAGCTGGGAGGCTCCAAGTCGGGGCCCATGCACAGGCCCAGGGCAGGCCTGTGGACCCAGGCCAGCATCTCTCAAGCTCCTAGCCACACGGGAGGGGGCGGAGTACGAATGGTAGAGGGCCCCCATCCATCCTCCATGGCCTGCTGCGAGGGCATCTCCCAAAGACCCTAATGGGACAGTCCGGGGTGTTCTCAGGCCTTCCCCGCAGAGCCCTCCTCCAGACCCAGCCCAGCCCACTGGCCCCCCAGGCCTGCGTCACTCACCCAGCTTCCCGAAGAGCTCCACCCCCAGGGCGGCATAGATGAAGAAGAGCAGCATGAAGAGGAGGCCCAGGTTGCCCACCTGTGGAGACAGCAGGTGGGGCTGGGCAGGGGAGGGGGAGGGCTGGGGCGGGCGACAGGCTCCGGGCGAAGGGCAGCCTGCGGGTCCGGGCGGCCGCAGCATCTCACCAGGTTCTGTGTCTGTGTCGGCCACTCCCCGCATGGCCCCCCGGGGGGCAGGCTGGGCCCAGCACAGGGGACAGGAAATAATAAACCGTTTGTGACGCCTTTACTGTCAGTGGCCTGGGTCGAAGCCCGTCACATCACAGTTCACTTACTCTGCACCACGACCCACGAACTCTGTATCACCTCTGTTCTTCAGATGAAGAGAGAAACATGCTGAGAGGTGAAGTACCTGGACCAGGGTCACACCACCGGCACACAGTAGGACTGAGATTCACACCCAGCCCACTAACCCCAGGGTCCATGCACACAACTGCTACTCTGTACACTTGTGCATGGTTAGTGCCATCCCACGGATGAACAGAGAGAGGAAGGAGAGGAAGAGAGAGGTGCCTCAGCAGTAATGCCACTTCCTCCACAAAGTCTGCCCGGATTCCTCCAGGCAGACGAGATGCAGTCTGACAGTGAGTGCAACCAGCATGACCCAGCCGCTGTCTCTGCTGGTCTGGGAAGTCCTGGAGAGCAGGAACACGGCTAGATTAAGTCAGGTCTGCTTCCTCAGACCGGCACGGAGCCGGCCACAGAGAGGAGGGGCACAGGAGCTGTGCAGGACTGCGGGCCCCAAGCCTCCGGCAGACCCGGCCACCCCGTCCCACAGCTCCTGTGGGAGGAAAGTGTCCCAGATTCCAAACCTATTTCCAATCTGTCCGTGTGCCAGAGCCTGCCCTTCCCTCGTGTTGTGGATGAGATCAGGCTCCAAGACACTCTGGCCCTAGAAGTAACGAGCTCTCTCCTAGGCCCCGTGGAAGGCCCACGGGACCAGGACAGAGGCAGCACCGAGGCAGGACGGAGGCAGAAGACATTCCATGAACTGCTGAGAAGTAAACCCGGCCCATCACAGCCGCCAGGCGCCCTACTCCGGAGGAGGCTTCCCCTCCGAGCTGCTCCACGGTCGCGCCAACAGTGTCGGACTAATTGAATGATGCTCATCCACTAATAAAACGGGCACTTACCGGACACCCATGAGGCCTGGCCAGCCGAGGGGAGTGTGCCTGAGTGGGGGCTCTCAGTCCCGCCCCGCCCTGCCCCACCCTCTGCAGGCAGTCGGCAGCATCTGTTAACCAGTGTCCACCTCCCCTTACTTTTCTTTTTTAAATTTATTTATTTTTAGAAAGAAGAAAAGGAGACAGAGAGAGTGAGAAACATCGATGTGAGAGAGAAACATTGATCCGTTGCCTCTCACACATACTCTGACCGGGGACTGAACCCGCAACCCTGGCATAAGCCCTGACTGGGAATCAAACCTTTGGCCATTCGATTTGCAGGACGACACCCAGCCAACTGAGCCACATTGCTCGGCACGTCCTAAGACCCAGGTCCCGTTCACTGACTTTTAACTATTTTAAACCTCACAACACCCTTTTGAGATGAACACTGTTATCACCCCCCCCATTTCACAGGTAAGGGCACCAAGGCACGAGAAGTGCCACATGCCCAGGGTCTCCCAGGGGACTAGGCGTTGACCCTGGGCAGGCTAGCTTGACTCTGGGCTCCACCCACTTCCTGTCTGCACACGCCCCCAAGCCCAGCACTCACCCCCTAGTCTATGTAGCAAATCTTTTGAAGGGATTTAGTATCAAGAAAAACCACGTTTCTTTGAAGGAATACCCATGCTTTCCATCCAGACCTGGTGAGAGTTACGCTGCTTTCCCTTTGCAACTGGGCTGCTGGGAAACTCACACCAAACTTGAGAACAGAACTCACTAATATTCTTAGCCTAGTCACTGTGAGAACTAGCTTTGCTTTCACTTTCCCTTCCTTGAGTTATTAAATCTTTTATCTTCGTTTTTAGTATCTGTGCCTTTTTATTTCGAGATGCATAATGTTCCTTAACACTAGGTGAGTCATGGTGAATAAATGAATGAGCGTGAGGCTCCCTGCAGAGCAGAGGCCATCCTGAGAGGAGGGAGAGGCGGGGCTGTGAGTAGCCAGGGCAGCAGGGAGGGAGAGGCTGGGATGCAGCATTCCTAGGAGGATGAACCATGACCCCTCTGAGGCCCCGGCCTTATCTCCCTTCCACTACCAATGGGATGCAGGCTGAGGGCGCCGCTTTCCTAATGGCTTAGATCTGTCCCCACGTCTTGTGCTGTCCCCCCCCCCAGAATGTCAGAACCTGTCTGTCCACATCACCACCTCCTTCTGCCAAACCACCCAACAAGGTCAAGCTCAAAGTCCCCTGACACTTTCCCTGGTTCCCCCCATTGTGTCAGAGCTGCTTCTCTCCTCTGCACAGTGCTGTGAGGTGTCTGTCTTCCCTACCAGCCCAGTGACTCCTGAGGGCAGAGTGTGGGTCCCCGAGGGCCAGCCCAGGGCCCGATATAGAGCAGGGTCAGAGAGTAGTTGGCGACATCAGGAAGGAAGAGGCAGAGGGGACCTGTTCCACCTCTCACAGCCCCAGCTCCAACTGCCCCCTGGAGACCAGACGTGTGCTGGCTCTGGGCAGGCTTAGGGAGAAGGGCGGTCAGGGCCTGCGCCCCCAGGGCGCAGTGGGACACCAGCAACAGGCAGGAGGGGCGGCCGCAGGGGGCAGCTCTTACCTGGGGCAGAGCTTGCACCACCGTGTCCAGCAGGGCCCGCATCCCCGTGGCCATCTTCAACAGCTTCAGCACTGCGGGGGACATGCGGCCGGCCCACTCAGTCCAGGCCCGAGGGGCAGGGGTGTGCGTGTGCAGTGTGCAAATGCCACGAGGACGTGGGTGCAGCTACAGGGTGAGTGGGGTGTCACACAACTCGTGGACATCAGTGTAAAAAAGTCCTAGACGGGGAGGGCACACCCAGTGGGAACCGAGGGGTACAGGGAGTGTGAGCGAGCGCCTAATTCACCGAGATGAGGCAAAAGTGACCACCCGGGGCAGCCTATGTCCCTGCCTGTGGCTAAGGAGGGCTCCGGTGTTCTGCTGAGTTTCTCCCCACCCATCCCCACCTCGGGATCTGGGGGCGACAGGCAGGTGCAGGTGGAAGAGTTACAGGCACCTGGGTGAGACAGCAGGTGTTTGAAGGAAGTGGGGGTGGCCGTGGGGGGCAGAGGGTGGTCTGGGAGAAGAGAAGGGGTTTTAAGAAGCACTGAGGCCAGTGCGTCCCAGCCGGTGTTGGAGAACGGCAAGTGAGGAGCCCCATCTGCCCTGGCTGCCCTTGTCTCCACTAGGACTGGCCCGTGTGCTGTGTGACAGGAGGCGGGGCCAGTGTGCCGGGCAGAGCAGCTGTGGGCGGGGCCCTGAGTGTGTATGCACAGGGGCGAGCATCTGTCCTGGAGGCCCGTCCCGCCCACAGCCCACCCGCCTCCTGGCCGACCTCCGCCCTCACCCCGGGCGATGCGCAGCACCCGCATGATGCGGATGATGGTGGGGTTGATGGGCAGGGCCGCGTTGATCTCGATCTCCTCCAGCGTGATGCCCATGACCGACAGCAGCACGATGGCCAGGTCCAGCTGGTTCCACCTGCTCAGCGCACAGCAGTGGGACGCCAAGTGGGCGACTCTCGTGCAGACTCGCCTGAGGCCAGGGGAGCTTCCCAGCTCTCCACCCTCCGGCTGCGGCCGGTCGGGATGTGTGCCCACTCTCCCTACTAGCCCGCTCCAGACCCCACTAGGTCCAGCTCCCCCTCTGCCCCCAGACAGCCTCCAGTTCCTCAGGCAAGGGGCCGACCAAGCTAAATAAATATCTGTGGCCTCCTCCAGGGGAGAAGTGGCTCTCTCTGACTTCAAGCTCTGAATCTTGATGCTGCTATTTCTTCTGTGTGGCCAAGGGCTAATCTGTTGACCTCTCTGAACCTTATCTGCTCCCTCAGAAGAGGCATGGGGCGTGCCCTGCTCTGCCTGTGGGAGGACCCATGGGAGGAGTGCTCCGGGGGCTTGGTGGAATGCCCCGAGTCCACCAGGCAGGACCATGACTGCCTCCTGTCCAGGCCTGTAGGGAGCACCCAGAGGTCGCAGCCATCCGTGCACGGGCACTTCTCTCCCGCCTCTGGCTGCCCTGGGCTTCCCCATCCTGCAGGGCCCTCTCCGCTGCCGTGCGCCGGCCCAGCCACTCACCGGTCCTTGAAGAAGCGCCTCAGACCAAAGGCCACCAGCTTCAGCACAGCCTCCAGCACAAAGACAGTGGTGAACATGTAGTTGCAGTACTTGAGGGCAGTCTCCAGGGACTACGGGGAGAGGCAGAGAAACATGATCCAGGCCCCAAGACCGGCCCCCGCCTTCCTCCTGTCAGCAAGGCTCTGCCTCCGAAGAGGAAGACTGAACCCATTCACCTTTGGTGCAATGACTGAGGTAACGGCCTCCCTTCCCTCTTACATAACGTGCACTGTTTCTTTCTCACGGCTGTTCCCTCCCCCTTATTCCTGCTGGCCTGGTCCAGGGAGCCCACTTTGGAAGCAGCAAAGGGTAACAGTGAAGGGTCATGGCTAAGAGCCAGACAGCCTAGACTTAAACACTGGCTCGGCACTTAACTCCTGGTTCACTGTGACTTTGGGTGAGTCCCTTGACCTCTGTGGGACTTAGTTCACCAACCCATGGCACCAGGACCTGACCTCACAAAGTGGCTGTGAAAATTAAGGGAGCTAATAGCCCCGCACCAGACCGAGCTATCAACATCAACACGTGGTAAAGGTGAGCTACTGTTACCCCATTTTCTCACGTTAATTTGGGAGTTCTGCAACTGCCGTTCCCTTCTGCTGCTGGCTGCCTTCCTGTCACAGTCCTCTCCTATCGCTGAGAGGGAGCTCTGCTCCCCTCTTCTGCACACTGCCTGACACCGGCTGGGAGTTGGCCGCCCTCTCCCACTTCCGTGTTTGCCCCCAATAGTCCTGCCACCCGGCTGCCCTCCCCCGGCCCCACTCGCCCAGGCAGCAGTGAAGGCCACATGGTGGTCCTTGAATGCAAATCCAAGGTCCAGTCCGCCCCCTCTGCACACTGACTGCCCAGTCGGGGCAGCCCTGCCACATCCCCGAGCCTCAGTTTCTTCATCTACAAAGTCTGGAGCCAGTCCCTTCTCCCGCCGAGGGCTGCTGCGAGGATAGGAGTCAGAGCCCGCAACCGCCTTGCAAAAAGTCACATGAAACACACCACGGCGACTGGTACTCATGTTCAAGGCGGGGCCCAAATGTTCCCTCCCCACTCACCAGAAATGGGAGACCTTTCTCTCTGGCCTTTGTCTTTCGTTCACCTCCTGCCAGGCCGTGAGCTTCCTGGGCACAGGCCCTGGCACAGGGGGACTGCTCAGGGCCTGCTCCTGGGGCGGGGTCCTGCTGAGGCCCCCCTCCACCAGGGACCCTGGGCTGGGGTCAGGGCTCGGGCTCACCGTTGGCTGGTTGTAGTGCTCCAGGGACATGGTGACCACATTGAGGCAGATGATGAAGGTGATGAAGATGTCCAGGTAGTGGCTGGTGCACATGGAGTGGATGAGCAGCCGGGTGGGACAGTAGGTGGCATAGTAAGGCAGCCGCTGGGCCTCTGCCAGGTGCACGGGGGAGTGGCACAGGCCACAGAGGGTGGCCAAGGCGGGCACAGGACACGGGGAGGGAGAGGCCGAGGGGAGGGAGGAAGCAAGGGGGAGAGGCGTCAGTCCACGCAGGCCCTGGGAGTCAGAGTTAGGTCCCTCCACCCAGCCAGGGGGCCAAAGGGGACGTAGGTAAGATGTAGGGGTGGGGCTAAAGAAGGCAGGACACAGATTCCCCCCCCCACCCCAAAGCGCCCACAGCAGGGGCTCCGGGACTGCTGGGGGCGGGGGACAGGGGTCCCACAGCTCAGGGTCAGCATCCAGGCTCTGCCTTCTGCCTGGACTGAGACACCTGGTTGGCAGTGGTGTCACCACCAGACTCCAGGAGGACATGGTTAGGGCTCAGGTCACCCAGTCAGGCAGACATTGGGAAAGGGGCAGAGCCAGGACCCGGGGTCCCAGGGGCCATATCCTTTGTCCCTTCCAGCTCCAAAGTCCCAGGGGCTGATGTCAGGTCCAGGCCTTGCCTCTGCACCCAGGAACACCAGCGGCAGGCAGAGGAAGCCAGGGCTGCGGTGGCCCCTGCCCCCCAAGTCGCCCACTCACTCCGGCGCTTCTTTTCCAAGCGCCGCAGCCGCTTCTCCTCGCGCCGCCGCGCCTCCTCGGCCTCCTGGTGCTGCCGGCACTTGTGGAAGTTCTCCACCACAACGCCCACAAACATGTTGAGCACAAAGAAGCTGACGATGAGCAGGAAGGAGATGAAGTAGAGCAGCATCCAGGGGTTGTGGTTGGGCACGGGCTGCAGGGAGCCAGACGGGGCTGAGGCAGGCTGACCCGGCCCTGCAGGGCCTGCTGGGGTTGGGGAGGGGGCCCAGGGCCACCATGCTGAGCCTCAGAGATACAGAGAGAGCCTGCTTCCTGGGTGGCTGAGGAGTTTGAAGGAGGAAGCAGGTAGGAAGTGCCCGCCCTGGCCTGGCACAAGTAAGGTGCTCAGCAAAGAGAGCCCCTTCCCTTCCCTTCCCTTCCCTTCCCTTCCCTTCCCTTCCCTTCCCTTCCCTTCCCCTCCCTTCCCTTCCCTTCCCTTCCCTTCCCTTCCCTTCCCTTCCCTTCCCTTCCCTTCCCTTCCCTTCCCTTCCCTTCCCTTCCCTTCCCTTCCGCAGCCTCCTGGGTGCATACCCACCTGTCTTCTTCTTTTCACACCCACCCACACAACCACCCTCTCACTTACCCATCCATCCCCCACCCACTTATTCGTCTGTCCATCCACCGACCACCCACTCATCACGTACTGACCCGCATCCACCCATCCACTCTTTATCCACCGGAAACAAGGCTGCCAGCACAGGGAAAGCACATGCCCGGTGGAGTCTGGGTGTGTGTGGAGCGGGTGCGGGGGTGGCAGGCAGGACTGGGCAGACAGACTAAGAAGTGGAGAGAGATGCCGCCAAGCGTTCTCACCCCCTGCCTAGCCCCAGATGGGGCCCCTGCTCTCAGGCGTATCTTGGGAACAAGAGCTCGGGCCCCTATCAGGCCCCCTATCGGGCCCAACCTCCTCCCTGACCCCTTTCCACCCATCCACCCTCAAAGCCACATCACTCTCTTGCCTCGGGCCTGCTCCTGCTGCCCCCTGCCCGCTGGTTCAGCCCCTCTCCACCCACAAGGCTCTGAGCCCCTCCAGGCAGGAGGCAGCTTGGAGAGCTGTCCCTATGGAGCAGGGGCTTTGTTAAAGCCAATGGAACATGACTTTGGCTACCCAAGGGGTGGCCCTGCTGGTGGAGGATTCGGGGCAGGGTGATCAGGGGTGGGCCACGGCACAGTGGGAGACATCGGAGCCCTGGGTCTGCTGACACGGGTTCCAGGCCACTAACCCCCAAACCACCGTGTCCCTTCCCTGGTGCCCTGCTGACCTGGCCTCAGCCACGCCCACCTGCTGGTCCACGGCAACAGCATCCAGTCCGTTGTACATGATGTTCACCCAGCCATCCTTGGAGGCCAGGACAAAGAGTGACATCAGGGCCTGGAAGACATGGGAGGGGGCGGGGACACCCAGGTGATGGACTCGGGCAGCTCAGGTTGCATCTGCCCCCACCCATCTCTCCATCTCTCTGTGTCTAGGAGGCAGAAGGATAAAGGCCTTCCCCATGTCAAGGGCAGAGCTGTGCTCTCAACAGACAAAGCTTTTCTGAGGACCTACTGTGTGCCTGCCATATACCCTGCAGGCACTGCTGCAGGAGAATGAGCACTGGACCAGGAACCCTGGGTTCCAGTCTCAGCTCTGAAATTAACCGGCCAGTGCCCTGACCGATGCTCAGTCAGCTGAGCACTGTCCTGCATAGCAAGAGGTGGCCAGTTCAATTCCCGGTCTGGGCACACGCCTGGGCTGTGGCCCAGTCCCCAGATGGGGCACGTGCAAGAGGCCACCCATCAGTGTTTCCCTCGCATGTCAATGTTTTTCTCCCTCTCGTTCTTTCTCCCCTCCCCTCTCTCTAAAAATAAATAAAATCTTTTTTAAAAAATTAACGGCAAGAAATTCATGAGCTCTTGCCCCTCCCCCGCAGGCAGGGTGGAGCAAACACTCCCAGGGCTGCCTGCCAGGTCTGCTGGGAGAGTCGGCTGCGACTCCAACCCAGAAGGCTCCTCACAGACACCAGTGTCCCTTCTGCTGTCACTCCAAGCTGGAGCCTGAACACAGCTGACCGTGGGAGGTCACAGAGAAGTCAGGAGCCCTGGTCACAGCCCAAGCTCTGCCACTAAATAGCTGTGTGATGTGAGGCAAGTTCTTTGATGTCTCAGCTTTCTCGTCTATAAATGGCAATAATTACCATCCCTAATAGGAGATTTGGGGACAAGGTGATCCCCAGGAGACAGCCAGCTGAGGCTCCTACCCAGACAGCAGCCAAAGCATCCTCATGTCCCTTCAGAAGGGTGACAGGCTGGTCCTAGAGGACCCAGTCCAGAGCCTCGCGCGCAGCGGGCGCTCAGTAAAGGTTCTCAGAGCTAGGCTGAACCCATGCCATCCGTGCAGAGCCCCGGCATGAGGGACGTTAGTGGGTGCACAAAGGGTCCAGACCAGCAGAGGTTGCCCCGGGGCCCACCCCCTACTCCGGACACCTTCCCCTCCCATGGTTCCACCACACTGTTCATTTGGGCCAGGGAGCGAGGTTCTGGGCTGGGTCCGCTGCCCCGCACTGGCCCCTCCTTCCTACCCACCCAGGGCTCAGACCTGTCCTCTTCCCTCCCAGCCAGCTGTGGTGCTAAGGGCTGCCGGGAAGGGGCTTGGGCCCTGGAGCAGGGCAGGACAGCAGACACAGGGGAAGCTCTCCTTGCCAGGGGGGCATAAGAAGCTTTCATGTGCAGGGGGGGCAAATGTCCCTGTAGACCCTTTGATCACAGAGGCTTGAGCACAGGGACCCTGAGACTGGGAATCCCAGGCCTGCTATCCCTGTCCCCGTTTATGGACGAGGACACTGAGGCCCGGCAAGTGACTGGACATACCTGAGGACACGCAGAGAGGAGTCAGAGGCCCCGGACCAGGCCGCCACCCCCATTAGCTCTGCGGGCCGAGAGCACCCTGCTTGGCGGCCGGGGGCATCAGCCTGGCATCAAGCACGCTCTGAATGGAGACGGTGCCCCCCAGCAGAGAGCCCCAGAATGCCCCAGGGGAGCTGGGACCCAGGCCTGGCCCTGGGTCAGGGGTCGGGAGCAAGGTCATCAAAGGCCCCCACGGGCTTTCCCCCAGCTTCTTGGACTATGTTTTTTAAAACACATTTTGCGAACCATTCAGTTGTTAATAACTTGAAAAGGTGCTGCTTCCGGAGAATCTGCAGGAGGCGAGGCAGAGGCTATGTCCCAGTTCCTGATCCCCTTCCCCGACCCCTTCCCTGGGCCACTCACTGTTCCTCTGTGGTCCCCTGGCCCATCTCCCAGTAGGCACGGGGAGTAGGATCTCTGGTCACATGGGGTGCGAACTCCAGTGGGGACCAACTGGAGGGTCCCAGCGGAGGGGTGGGGCATGGACCCTGCTTCCTCCCCATCTGGCCATACCTAGCCACCCCTGTAAGCCTTCAAGATTTAGGAGCATTTGGGGGTGGGGGGCAGGGGCTCTTTGTAGGCAGCCAGCAGGGGTCTCTCATCTGGGCTACTGCCCAGATGGCCAAGCCTGTCAGGCCCCAGGAGAGGAACCGACAGCGAGTCAGGAACTGGGCGGGGGCCGGCCTGTGACTAGAGAACAGAGCGCAGCAGATGGGTGATGGGAGAGGAAGCCCACCGGGGCACACGGGAGCCTCCACAGTGAGGGGCAGAGCCAGGATTCACAGGCACCACCGGGATGACTAAAATTCCTGTCGGTGTCCCACAGGTACGGTGGGGACCAGGAACCAGCGCCCACTGAAGAACCTATGAGGCTCCAGGGGCTTGCTGGACACTCTGCACTCAGGATCTCTAACACACACCCTGCAGGGCCAGTCCCGGGAGGGCAGGTCTGCAAGGTCTGCAGGCTGGGCTATAATCCCAGGCTGCCGGCATTGCAGAGCTGTCGCTCCAGCCCCCGGGGTCACCAGGTAAGGAAGGGGCTGGTGGGCGGAGCTCACCTGGCCCAGGTTGTCGAAGTTGTACTTGTGATGGACCCAGCGGTAATTGGCAGCCATGCAGTCAGAGCGGTTGGTGATGTTGCGGGTGTCCACACCGAGACAGTGGTAGAACTTGCCCTTGAAGAGCTGGGGGGAAGGGACACAGGCTGAGTGAGGTCCTGTCAGCGTTCCCAGGGGTGGGGTGTGAATAAGAAGAGGGACAGCCAGACCCTCAGGAGGCCTCTTGTCCAACCAGTCTGTCCATGCTCAGCCCAGGCCGCTCAACCACACCATCTCCCCAGTCCCCCAACGGGAGGTGGGGCTACTCTCATCCCATCTCACAGATGAGGAAACCGAGGCCAGGGTGACAGGTGATGGTCTCCAAGTCACCTGAGGTTTAGGCGGCACCAGAGCCAGAATTCATATCCTTGTCTGTCTGATTCCTGGACTTCCCACAGACCCGAGATCAGACCCAGTACCTACACTGAAGGTGTGCACAGGGGCCCCAAGGGAGAAAGATGTCTGCATATCCCCAAGGGGGAGAGAGGAAAGGGACCATCCCCAGGGACCCAAGCTCTGCCTGTGTCAACTGCCTGAAAGGGGCAGGGCCAGTGTCCACACAGGGTCCGCTTTACTGTGAACTTCTCAGCAGCCCCAAAGAGCACCTGTGGCCAGGGTTCCCCACCAGTTATAGCCCCACATGCAGCACCGGGTGAGAAAACCGGGGCTTTGCAGCCCAGACACTCAGCAAACAGGAAGGGCCTCATGCAGCTCGGACGGCAGAGGGCCCAGGTCACTCCAGCCATCCCCATCACACACTTTATGACCCATCCCCGCTCTTCCCTGTCCAGCCCTGAGGCCCGTCATATTCCTGGGCTGGGCTCCAAACCAAGACCCACATCAGCCCACGTCCCAGCCTGTGTCAGAGGCCTCCTGAAGCCCCAAGCCCGGAGGTGACAAACCCTGGCTCCTTAACGCCATTCCAGGCCTTTCCCCACAGCACCCAGCCCAGCAGTGGGCTCTTCTCTCTAGCCAGGAGCTCCCAGGCTCACCTCCACACACGTGCCTGTCCCCGCCCCCCGGAAACACTTGCCCCACCACGACCTGTCAAAATCACCTTTCCTTCAAGGCCTAGTGCAAAGGCCACCACCTCCTTCAGGGTTCTCCCCTCACTGTCCCCAGCCCAGCTGCATGTTCCTGCACAGCTTGGACCCCTGTGATCCCACTGACCCAGCCCGCCTTGCCCTTGGCCATGTCTGTCTCCTCTGGCCTGGGAGCTCACCACCGACTGGGCCACCTGAGCCCCCATGTCAACCAGCACTGAGTCAGGGGAGCTGGGCAGGAGGGAGGAGCCCTCCCCACCGCCTGCCCAGCCTGGGCACCCCTCACCTGCACCCCCAAGATGCCGAAGATGATGAAGAAGGCACAGCAGATGAGGACAATGTTGCCGATGGGCTTAAGGGAAGAGATGAGTGTCTCCACCACCAGCTTCAGGCCAGGCGCCCGGCTGATGACACTGTAGGCAGGAGGGACGAGGGGCACAGTTAGCCCTCAGCCAGGCCAGGAGACAGCCTGCCCCCGTCGTCCCAGAGTCACCAGGGCAGTGGCCCCAGGCTCAGACCTATGTGCAGAGCAGGGCACCACGCCCTTGGGGTCCACACTCCTTCATGTCGGGACTGAGGCTAGAGACAGCGGTGAGCAGCCCGGGCCACACAGAGAGGGGGTAGCCATCCTAGGGGCCACCTTCAGCCCTGGTCTTCCAACACGCTCGCTCACACACACACACGCACGCACATGCACACTCACTCCAGACTCCTGTCCTAAAAGCAGGCCCACAGCCCTAAACCTGGCCCTGCTCAGCCAGTGCTCCGCCATGCTAGCAGAGGGCCGAGTGGGTGGGGAGGGGCGGAGCGAGGGCCCACTTAGACCTCAGGGGCTTCCCTAAACACAGAGGCATCCTCACCGCAGGGGCCGCAGAGTGCGCAAGAGCCGCAGGACCCGGAGGACCCCCAAGATCTTGGCTCCACCAGCTGAGGCCAAGGACACCACGATGTCGATGATTGACACGAAGACTAGAAAGCCGTCCAGCACGTTCCAGCTGCTGCGCAGGTACGCCTGCTCACCGAAGTATAGACCCAGCGAGACCACCTGGGGGCGGGGTGGTAGGTGAGGTCAGTGGGCTCAGCCGGCCAAAGAGGGCGGGGCTGACAGGGTCAGGTGGGCGGGAGGGGGTCAGGAACAGGACAGTCAGGCAAGTAGTGTGGGGCCAGAAGGCTGGCAGAGGACACTTGACCCACTGCCCACTCAGAAGGTGGAAGGTCTGGGCCCCTGGGGACACTCTGCAACTCCCGCGTGTGGCCTGTTCCAACCCACTCTCTTGTGCAGGTCTGGCCAACCCAATCCAAAGCTATAGCGTTACACCGTGAAGGTTTCCCAGCATCTACCTTTCTGCCAGGTCGTGACCTCCTGGGGAGCAGGGATGTAGATGACCCCACCCCCTGGGTCCCAGGAGCCTAGTGCTGGTCCCAAGGGGAAGCGGACCTCTGGGACCCCTGTGGAAAGTTGCTAACAGGCAGGTGAGTGACAAGCTGGGGCGGGCTGAGCCAAGGCCACCCCTGGGGAGGTGAGAGGCCCCAGGTAAAGAAAGGCTACCTTTAGCGTCATCTCGCCCACAAAGATGGCTGTGAAGATGTAGTTGGACACGGTGAGGAAGATGCGTTCCTGAAAGAGCCAGGAAACGCCATCAGCCTGGAGCTCCCAGAACCGCCCGGCCACCCAGTCACCGCTGCCTTCAGCCCAGGGGCCTCCCGGGGAGGCCCCTTCGCGGTCCAAGGAGGTGCTCTCTCCCCGGAGACAAGCCCACGCCACACCTTCCTGTACGTATCAATCCCCACCTTGCTGAGCTCTCCTAGCCCCCTGGACCTGCGCGTCCCCTAGCGGCCCCAGTGGCCTGCCCCTTGGCCTGTCCCATGCCCTGCCCGTGGGCCCCAGCCACTCACAGTGCTGCCAGCCTCAATCTGGGGCCGCTCCAGGGCGATGGTGATGCAGTTGAGGAAGATGAAAGCCAGGACGACGTAGTCGAAGAGCTTGTGGGCAATGATGGTCTGGCACAGGACGCGGAACCTGGGCAGAGTGGGCGGGGCCTGAGCGGCGGTCTGCCCCTCACCCCAGCCCGGAGGAAGGCAACGGGCTGAAGCCAAGGGACGGCCTGGAGGAAGCTGACCCTTCTCTTCTCCGTCCACATGCAGGTGGCAGCTTTACATCCACCCAGGGTGCCCACTGGAGCCACCTCCCCTGACCACACACCCACAGCCACTCCTACAGCACCAGGAGGAAGGGTGCCCGCCTGGCCCTGGCACTCACGGCTTCCACACGCGGCCCACAGCCCTGAGCCCCGCCCTGCAGCACGGGACACATGCAGCGCTGCCCAAGCATCCACCCCAGACCTGCGCTCAGGCTGCTCCTCCCACCCGCCCCCACCCCAGCCCCTCACGACCCTGCTGTGCCCACAATGCTACACGGGCCCCCTCACACCAGAAGCCACCTACGCCCCCTCCAGAAGGGTCAGCTTGAGGATCTATCTAACTTGGTGCCTGGGACAGGGACAACCTAGACTACAGGAGAAGCCCAAGAAGTCCCCATTCAAACACGCCCCGTCCCCGGCAGCCACTCTACCACAGGGGCGGGGGTCCCTCTGAGGCATGAGCGGCACCCCCCTCAATGGCCCTGCCTGGCTCTGTGGGAGTCTCTCCCTCCCAGACCCATCCACCCTCCAGTTTAACCTCACCACACGCCCAGCCCCGCCCACCTGTTCTCCGGAGAGAAGAGGTAGACAGACCAGTCCTCGCGGACCTCACACCAGGCTGGCTTGTAGACATCAATCATCTTGCGCACACGGAAGCACAGAGTCTGGCAAGGAGGGTAGGTGGACGCGGACTGGTCAGCATGCCCAGAGCTTCCCATCTCTGCGCACCCACCCCAGCCACCCAGCACACGGGGGCCTCTGGGTGACCTCTGAACTCTCCCATGGCAGCAGGGAGGGCTTCTCCCAGGAGGTGGGCCTGACTCAGGTGTGGGCAGCTCCAGCAGCCTCCTCCTGCTCACCTGCCTAAAGCCCTGTCCCCGGGGCCATGCCCCGTGGGACCCTCCGACTACAGCCCCACCCTGCAGGCGGCCCCCTCCTGCTCGTCAAGCAGACCTTCCCCTGGCCCCTGGCCCGGCCCCGGGGCCCGCCCCACTCACGTAGTCAGCCTCCTCCTCATCCTGCGCCTGGTCCCGGCGGTCGTTCATCTTGGTGAAGACCTCCTTGGCGATGCCGGGCATCCTGCCGTTGCAGTCCTCGTGCCCGGGCGCCAGGCCCACTGCCCTCCAGGTGGCCCGGGGGTGGGGGCCCACAGTGGGCCCCAGCTCAGCCAGGTCTACTGAGTCTCTGGTGTCAAGGGACAGCGTCCGGCGGTGGTGGTGGTGACGGTGCATCCCATGGGGACCATGATACACGTGGTGGGTGTGCGGGGTGTGCAGGGGCGCAGCCCGTGGAGGCCCCTCCTCGCAGGCGACCTCGAAGGCCCGGGTACCGCCACCCCGCTCAGCAGAGAGCAGGGACTCATGCTCTGCAGACGGTGGCTTGTGCTTGAGGCTGTTCCAGCTGGAGCGGCGGCTGGCCCAGGCCCCACTGCGGCCCCAGGGCCCATAGTAGGAGCTCCGGGAGCTGGACTGGGAGGAAACCAGTGCACCAGTCAGTGCCAGCCACACGCACCCATGGTTGTGACTGAAGGAAGCCTGTGGGACTGCTGAGGCCCTACAAGGGCCACCAGCCTGACCAAGTGGGGGACAGAGCCAGCCAGACTGCTGCAGGGGTCCTCTCCCCACCCAGACTCTCATTCCTTCCACATCCATGGACATGTGGGCATGTCTACAGTGCGCTTCCATCTGCCCCCCCACCTCACTTCCCTTGAGAAAGCTGCAGCAAGTTAGGGCCATCTTCCTCCTTACAGGTAAGGAAGCTGAGCCTCGGAGAGGGCTGTAACTTACTCCTGGTCACACAGCTTGGCAATGCCAGAGGCCAGATTCAGGCTCGGGTCTGCCCGACCACCCCCGGCCCAACTATTTGCCCTGCACATTGGCACCAAGATAAAAATCCTATTTTCCATACCAGACCCACAGGCCTCATTCATTCATTCATTCATTCATTCATTCATTCATCCCTTGTTGCCTGGTCCCACTCTGACACTGGAAACCCAGAAATGCAATGGACGTGATCCTTAACTGGTTCCTGCTGGACACTCTGGCGCCCAAAGCCTGGGTACCAGTCTGAAGCTGGACTTGCAGGTGCTTTGCCCTGGGTCCCTCACACATACCCATCAGGGAGCAGCCACCCAGAGCACCCACAGGGACTCACCAGGGAACGCTGGTCGTAGCTCACCCTCCCCAGGGACATGACACTGCTCTTGCGAGAGCCCAGGGCCACCAGCATTGGGTCCGGCTGCAGCGACAGGCGAGCAGGTGCTGCAGCCCCAGCGGGGCCCAGAAGTCCACCCAGAGGCAGATTGGGGTCCAAGTGCCCATTGGGGGTCAGAGGAATTGGGCAGAGCTTGGGATCTGGAGGGGCGAGAAGGGGACAGAGGGAGGGGCAGACAGAAGGCCAGAACAAGAGCAAAAGAAGCCATGAGATGAAGAAGTGGTCATGGACAATAACTGAAATGGGGAGTTTTTTCTGGGGAGGCCTCCTCCACCAGGCAGTCTTCCAGATTGGACCCCATCACCTGTGCCTCCCCTCTGCCCTGCCTGCAGGGCCCTTGGCTTTAATTTTACATAAGTGAATCCACTGCCTTCTGTATTCAGAATAACCACTGAGCTTCACCCGACTTGAGAACCTCGCTCCCATGGCCACAGACGGGGAGCGAGGCAGAGGCCCCCAGCCCAGTTACCGAGGGCTTGGTGTGGGCCGGTGAGGTTTGCTCCAAGCTGCCAAGGGGTGCCAAATAGGACCAAAGGCCAGGCACCCTGAGGCCCAAGGCTCTTCCTAACAGGCCACACTGTGTGGAGACGGGAGGGCGGGCTGCAGCCAGCCCTGTGTCTAGAATTCAGGAAGGTCACGAAGGTCACTGACTTGTTGAGATTTAGCCCACCTTTCAATTATGAACGTAAATAACAAACCACAGAAATGAGCAGTCACAGAGCCTGGGCTGAAGGGGAAACCAGAGGCTGTGCCCATATCCGCCTGGGTCTTTGGGGAAGGGTCCTAGCCCCTTAGGAGACAAGCGGAGGTCTATTTACCTCCGCCGCTGTCCAGGCCCTCCTGGAGCTTGTCAAACTCCTCCACGTTGGACAAACTCTGGTCGTCATCTGAGTAGGAGCGATTGGCGTCGCCCTAGGAGACCGTCTCACATTGGAATGCACGTGGGCTCAGCCCTCTTCTCCCTCGTGAACTTTCCAATGGACATTTTCACCCCCATTTTATAAATGCGGAAACTGAGGCTCAGGAAAGGGAAGTGACAAGCTAACGGGGACCTAGACCCCTCATCGGCCTTCCTGCAAGTTCCCCAAAGACTCAGAGAATGGAGGAGGCAGGGTCCAGAACCCCAGGCCTTGGAGACTTGAGAATCTCAGAGATGGAAAGGCCTCGCCTTGCAACCCTTGGGGAGAGGGCCTCCATTTCCATGCCTCCTATGACAGGAGGCTCACTACTTCATTGGCAACCCCCTCCTCTGGAGACTCTCCTGCTAGATGTTTGAACTGCATCCCTCCCCCATCAAGACCCCCTCCCCTCACCCAGCCTTGTGTAGGCCCCATGGGGGTGCTTCCTCCACCAGGGCCACAGTCACCTCCGCCTGGAAGCCCTCCACCAGGATGGCCACCAGCAGGTTGAAGAGCACGTAGTTGCCGAAGGTCATGAGGGCGACAAAGTAGAGGGAGGCCCAGGGCGAGGTGGAGGCCATGCCGTTGTAGAGGACGACATTCCAGTCCTCCTGGGTGAGGATCTGTGGGGGAGGAGGGCGCGGCTCAGTACCAGGCACCCCCAGGCCCCGCCCAGCCCAAGGACAGGCGGAACCCTCTGGGCAGCACAGCTCCGAGCATGCGGCAGCCCATGCACACCTGCAGCATCCGCTCACAGGTGCTCGGGCACACCCAGGGACCTGGAGTATCACAGCTGTAGCTGGGGGAGTGCCCACCCAGCTCAGCCTCTTGCTCACGCACTCACACACACACACTGCCCGGCCTGCTGCCCCAAGTGCACCCACACCTCAAGCCCATGTCGCACACCCCTGCCCTGACATTCACTCCCCCCTGAGCACCGCTCCCTCCTGCCTGCACAACCCCATCCTCTGCCCTGCCCGTGCGACCTGCCTGCGCCCACAGCACAAGCCCACCCTTCCTCCTCCCCCTGCTCCTCCCACCCCCACTGCACTGTGTGTACACACTCGTTCCACACATCCACATTCCAGGGGGAGCAGTCTCAGAGAAGAGTCCTAACACGCCCAAGGTCTCAGGGTGGGAGTGGATGGGCCAGGGATGGGCATCGGGTGGGCAGTCCAGCTCCCAGAGCCTGTCCTGCACCAGCCTGGCCACACACCCCAGACCTGCCCACTGAGCCACGGCTGAGGGCCCCCCCTGTCAGACATGCTCTGTGGGGTGTCCGAGGCTGGAAGCACGAACAAAAATCCATCCTGTGTTTTTGGATGGATGCATCCCCCATCACATACGGATGCACGCTCACCTGGAACACTGTGACGATGGCCCACAGCAGGGAGTCGAAGTTCTTCCTGTCTGGGACCGTATCTCCCGTGTCTGTCCGGAGGCTGAATTTGCAGCCAAAGATGTGCATCCCAAGAATGCTGGGGGGGGGGGGGGCGGGGACAGAGGTGACTCGGGGGACTCACAGACACCAAGATCTGGCCCACTCACCTTGTGCCCTTCTGTGAACAACCCAGTGAGACCAGAAGACACTGTGAGCCCCATTTTACAGGAGTGAACCCTGCCACTCAAAGAGGAAGTGCTCGCCCAGAGCCGCAGGGGAGTAAGTGACAGAGAACTCAACCAGCTACGCTCCCACCTGCAGCCCCATCAGGCGTGGCCCCAGGTGGGCAGGGCTCACCTGAAGATGAAGATGAAGAGCATGAGCAGCATGCAGAAGGTGGCCACGTTGTCCATGGTCTTCATGAGCACGACCAGCTGGCGCCGCAGCGCGGGCATGAAGCGCACCAGTTTCAGCACCCGCAGCAGCCGGAAGGTCCGCAGCACCGAGAGCCCGCCATCCGCCTGCCCCACGATCTCCCAGATGCTACACGGGGAGGGATGGGAGGCAGGGTGGAGACCAGGGCAGAGGAAGAGAGTTCCATCCGTTCACCCGTTCATTCACCCAGCCAATAATACGTCTCACAGGTCACTGCTGCTCGGGGCGCCCCGAGGTGGGAGCTCCGAACCTGGAGCCCGGGGGCCCCTCCCCCAGGGAGTCTGTGACACCCTGTCTGTGACAGAATTCAGAAGGCCCTCCAAGGTCCCTGAGCTCTTTCTGAGATTTAATGTTCTTTTGATTATGAATGGCAACAACAAAATACAGAAAATTAACAGTTCCTGTGACCCCGCGGTTAATGAAAATCACTGGTTTTATATCCCATGGTGGTTGAAGTAGATATCTTCGTATACAGTTTATGCTCATCCCTTCTCTGGGACAATGGCAGTCACAGACCTGCTGCCAGACTTCGCTATTTAAGGCGTTAATCCAGCAGCACGTATATGGCTAAGTCACAAATTTTTAAATACTTTTGTTAACTGTGTTTCCATGGAACTGGCTTCCTTTGACCTTCCGCACTCCACTCACAGGCCGGGCCAGCCCCCTCGTCCCCAGCTCTGCCTCCGGGCCCACAGCCTGGGGGTGGGGGGTGGGGGGCAAAGGCACCTGATGATAACGATGATGCTGTCGAAGATGTTGTAGGGGTTGCGCAGGTAGTCAAAGAGCCCGAAGGCGGCCAGCTTCAGCAGCATCTCCAGTGCGAACATGCTGGTGAAGACCACGTTGCAGACCTCCAGGACGTTGGTCAGCTCCTCGGGCTGCGGGGTGTTGGGGCAGCGGCGGGGAACCCGTCAGGCAGCAGGCGGCCAGGGGCCCCGTGGAAGCCTGTCGGCTCTGCGACCCCAGAGGGGTGGGGCAAGGCGTGTGGCTGCGTGGCCGGGCAGGGCGGGGTCCGCCCTGGAAACCTAGCGCCACGGCCACGAGGGCCTGACGGTTCTGCTGCCCCGGGGCCTGAGAGGCCCCCTGAGGTGGTGGGACCCCACGGGCTGACCCTCCACAAATTCGGAGCTGGTGCTATGGCTGCACAGGGAGGGAGGCATTAGGACACCGTTTCACAGATGAAAAAGCAGGTTCAGAGAAGGCCAGTCTGCCGCCTGAGGCTGCGGGGCCAGTGAGAGGCAGAGCCGGGGTTGGAACCCAGGCCGCCTGGCTCTCGGGCGCCCCCGCCCTTCGCCCTCTCCTCCGCAGACCTCCCTGCCTGGCCCTCCCCTCTCACTGCCCAGCGAGGGCCGTCTCAGCACTGCGGTGTCTGGAGACCACGACGCCCTGGGAAGGGACGCTGGGGAGCATGGCCCTACTGTGTGCCACATGGATCTTCATTAACTCAAGCACCCTCATCAGCAGGGCTCACCTCGCCCACGTCCCACGGGAGAACACTGCGGCCCAGGGAAGTTAACAGTTAAAGCCACAACTGGTCACAAGGAGAGTAGCCCCCACTGGCTACAGACCCACCCTCTGCCCCTGAGCTGTTCACCTCCTGATTTTTAGCATCAGGCGACACCCCTGCAAATGGGACCATCTGAGTGACCCCAATATATGAAACAGGCTACAGTGGGGGCCACTAGTGGGGTCCACCCCACCCCTCCTTGGCCTCAGTTTCCTCATCCATAAAACGAGGGAGTGGAACAAAAGGAATTCATTCCAAATCTCTCCACTAAGGGACACTTGGCTCCAGTCCCTCCATCCCCGCCACCATCCCTCCGGGACTGGGGAGGTGCCTGGCTTCTGCTCCCCGTGCAGCCAGGCTGCTCCCACTGCATCATGGACGAGGGAAGGGCCATTCGATCGGCCTGACCGCTCGCCCGTGCTGAGCTCGCCACCCGGCACACACGCTGATTCTCAGAGGACCTGGGAGGCCCCCGTAGGCGTCCCCCAGGGGCAGATGAGGAGACGGAGGCTTGATGAAGTGAAGGCACTTGCTCAGAGCCACCCGGCAAGGATGTGGCAGAGCCAAGCACTGAGCCAGACCAGACTCCAAACTGCTCGCCTGTTACACACACCGAGACCCCCCCACGCACACCCCAAACTCCTCCAGCCCTCCTCCACCCATTCACCAGTGCGGGCACTGAGCCTCCGCTGTGTGCTGCCTCACGCTACCCCGGGGAACAGAGGGGACAAGTCAGGACACCCTTCCTGCCCTCGGGAACTGCAGGCCCTGGTGGCAAAGCCCTACACGCAGGTTAGCTAACCAGTCCGTAGGTGCTAAGATCAGGAAAGTCGGGAGTGGTCTGGGAACCAGTGGAGTCAGGAGCAGCTTCCTGGAGGAACTGACATGTCAGCAGAGACCTCGAAGCTGAGAGGGAGCAGGTGACAGGGAGAAGAGAAGAAGGCGACCAGGCTGAAGGCCCAGCCAGAGTCAGGGCGGAGGGGTGGGGGATGGCCATCCATCAGCACCGCCCACCCCAACCCAGCCCAGCCCCTCTTCCTGGGACAGGGCACCTACAGGCCCTGACTTTGATTCCATTTGGGTTACAAGGAGAAGGAAAAAAACCAACCACCCGCTTCCCACCTGGTGCCTGGGAAATCTAATAAAAGTGCCAGTTCCTCTCCAGTCCGGATGAAAAGAGAAACCCCATTCCCATCTATGATTACATCTGACTCACAAAGTGGCCCTAGCAGGGACCCCTCTGTGGGGAGGGGCTGGGGCTGGGCGTCCGGGGCTAGTCAGGGCCCAGATGCTGCTCAGAGCTACCAACTTCCCCGCCACCGGCCAAATGACATTCAAAATTAGGGAGATGGAAACTGTGATGCTGGCAGTCCGCCACTGCAGATCACCCCACTCTGAGCCACACGCACACACACCCTCCGCCTGCAAGTGAGGGCAGAGCCCACCGCTCTACCGGGAGGGTCAGCCCCTCGAGGCCCTCCTCCCTGGAAACAGCTGTTCTCTAGTCAAGTGCACACCTGTCAGTCTTTTTCTAATGGATCGTCCATCACTCCTGAGAGCGTTTTTTCTGGGAGAGAGACAGTGAGTGGGAGAGACAGACAGACAGACGAATATAGGCACTCAGTGAGACCAAGGTGGGAGAGGGGCATGTGGGGAGAAGCAGAGACAGCACTGAGAGAGGTGGGCAGAGAGAGATGGACAGACAGACAAGTACAGACATGGGGAGTGAGAAGGAAGGCAGGAGTGCAGAGATAAGACAGAGAAAACACAGGTCGAAACATAATGGACCCAGATCACGACCCTGTGGGAGTCCATCAGAGCCAGAAAGTGGGAGTGTAGGCAGGGCAGACGGACAGACAGAGGCTGGGGAGAAGCAGCTGGAAATGGCAAAGACCCACCCAGTGAAGGAGGAGATGCCTAAGGGCAGAAAAACCGGGTTAAACCAGAGGCAGGAGGGTGGGGTCAGGTGAGGAGGGGCTGCAACCGGGAGGTGAGTCCAGATGGGGAGGGAGGCGGGCAGGGGCAGGGCCAGCTCCTCCCTGCCAGTGCCAGGCCTGGGAGGCACCAGGCAGCCCCTGGCCATTTCTGCAGGGGCAGGAAAAGACTAGTGGGCAGGAGCCTAAACTGCCCCCAGGAGCCCTCACGCCCAGCACCATCCCCACAGTAACAGTGGTGGCTGGTGCTAACATCTCCCACGTGCCAGGCGGCACTAGCCCTTCCCACCAATTATCTCACCTAAGCCTCAAACATCACCCTGCGGTATCCCCATTTCAGAGGCAGGAAACCTGAGGCCCAGCGCCATGGCCGGCCTGTGGTGGGATCAGCTCTCAAACCCAGGTCCCCTCCCTGTGGCCCAGGCACCTGCTCCACTTTTCTGCCCTAAGGGTCCAGTCCAGCACACACATGTCACTGTCCTGCTTACAAACCTTCCGTGGCCCCACTGCCCTAAGGACAAAGCCAGCCTCGGGACCCTTCCTGGATGGACAGCTCCCCAGCCTCCTGGGCCGTCTGCCCTGCCCTGGGGCGCAGGCCCCTCAAGTGGACACCTGTGCTCCTGGGCCCTGCTCCTGTCTCTCCTGTTTCACTGATGGAATCTAGCCTCCCTTGGCATCCATCTCCAGTACCACCGACTCTGGGAAGCCTTCCCTGACTGCAACCTATGTTGGTGCCTCTCTCCCCCAAGCCAGCACGGAGCTGGGATGTCAGGCACCAAGCCACCCCAGCCTCGCCTTCCCAGGCTCACCCCAGACCTGGGTCGGCTGTGACGTGGGGGCTGCTGCAGAAAGAAGAAAGCCTGCTTTGACCCGTCCACTGGTCTGGGGGCCTCAGATGCAGCCCCTGGGAGCTGGGAGCAGTGCACATGCCCTGGCCTGGGTCACCCCTCCGCAGGAGACTCCCCGTAATCCTCCCCTGCCCAGAGGGACAACACCCTCTGTATTTTGTTCTCTGACTTGCAGACCATCTTCCAACTCCAGGACAGCCTTGCCCAGCTCAGGAGCGATCACTGGCTTAGACAGGGAACAGCCAGGAAAGGGAGAAGTGGAGACAGACATCGCTCCCAGTCCCGGTCCCTCCTCCTGCCCACTCTGTGGGACCTCAGAGCTCAGCTCTGACAGTCACTCACCACGCCACCTGGGGCAAGCCACTCCGCCTCTCTGAGCCTCGGTTCCCCATCTGCCCAGTGGGGTTAAGGCACCCACTCTGCCTGCCGCACGGGGCTGCCATGAGGGTTGTCAGGGAAGAGGTGTGACGAAGCGCGAGTGCGGGTGGTGACGAAGGGTCTGGTGCCCAAGCTGCCCCCACCCACGTGCTTGTCACGCAGCCTCAGGTACAGACGGTTCTGGGCCCACTCTCCTCCCAGGATGGTGGGGGCTGGGGGCGCACTTCAGTACCCTCTGAGGCCTCCTGGGTCACCAGCAGGCCCCTGCCTGGCTGACACTGCCTTTAACCCGTCACTCTCCCAGGCCGGTACCCGAAGAGACTGGCATGTGTGGCCATGAGGAACCTGGTGATGCCCCCTCCTGATTTTGGCAGCAGTGGCCACCTAAAGGCCACGGGCAGCTGCGAGGTCACCTCTCACTCAAGCACTGTGATCAGAGTGGCAGGGGTGGCCCCCACTTCACAGACGGAGTAAGGAAATGATGGCCAGGCCCTGTCCCCTCCTCTGCCACCATGGCGGCCACACCAAGTTCTCTGCCAGCAGAGCGGGCAGCGGGAGAGGCAGGCGCCTAGGTTTCCTCCCCTCAAGGTCGCCATCCCTGCTGGGGGGTGGGGGGCATGCTCCCCTTTCTCCTGCTCCTCCCCTTCGCCCCCCGCCCCCTTGAGGCCCCGAGCCCCCTCTCTCCGTGGAAGCCACTCAAGGCAGCTCCAAATAAACACGGGGCAAATCATTTCCCACTGAGCCACGTCTGGGAGCCGGTGGGCTGAGGGAGAAAAAATGCCAGCAGCCCACCGGCAGGCCTGTTCCGGGCTCTGCCCAACACTGGCTGCCACTTGGAGCCGCTTTAAAAAGAGCGTTTTTAAAATTCTCCCTCCCCCTCGCTTTTTCTTTAATTAATTTCCTGAGGCTTCAGATGGCAGATGGTAAACTCACCCCAAAAGTGGTGGTATAAGGCTCCAAGGAAAGTTTCAAAATAATTCCTAACTAGTGAGCACCTACTATGTGCCAGGCTTCTTAATGCATTTCACCTCCCCAGTCACTCTGTGAGGAGGTTGTAAGGACTCAGTACACCGTGCAGGCTCAGGACCTGGCACTTAGTAGGTGCTCTGTTAATGGGAGCCAATCCCTCTGAGGGAAAGGGCACAAAGCTAGGGCACCTGCTTTGCAGATAAAGAAACTAAATATGCAGACAATTGTACTTGCACAAAAAGGAAGACAACTGTACTTGGATGATAAAATTATTTTTTAAAAAAACGAGGCAGACCCTATGAAGGGGCAGGAGACCAGCCAGTGAGAACTGCCTATCCCAGCTCGGTGGGGACCCCAGGGGTGCCCGTAGTGCCAAAGAGCTGAGGCTCCACCATATTCGAGGCTAGAAAGCTTGGTCAAGCAGGCTGTGGCAGAAGGAGTGAGGGGGGCAGGGAGACCCTGAGCTGGCTTGGGCAGGGACCATGGCCTGGCCTGAGCCTGGGGCTAATGGGTGGAGGGAGGGTCTGGGCCCAGAAGACAGAGCTGCCCAGCTGCTCTGGAGGGAACAGCTGAGAAGACATAGACCAGCAGCACAATGGCAAACAGGCCTCTGAAGAATAACCCTGACTTGTAGCGTGTGCCAATTTCCGTGGTGTAAATACTTCCACCGTGGCCAGTTTCAAGCTAGCAACTGTGTTTAGCAATGTCCCTGCAAAATTCCTGTTAGAAAATTGCTCTTGCAAGCTGGTTCCAGGAAGCCACTGGCACAGACAGTGCCCAGGCTCTGGTGTAGCAGGACTGTGATGGGCCCTCTTGGTGTTGCCCCAATGGATGGAGCCAGCACCCCCACGGCACGGGGTCCCTGTGGAGCCTTCCCCAGGAATGCTGGCCTCCTGCAGGCCTGGGCCAGGCAAAGGCCCCGAGGCTGGACCCCTGGCGAGAGGGTCCAGGTGGCCTGTCTCCCCAGCTTTACCATGCAGACAGCCTTCCCTCAGCCCTCCCCAAAGACCTTTTTAATTAAGCCAGAATGGCTGGTAAACCAGCAGCTCTGAACAGAGTGTCACGGCAGCCCCAGGGGCCGCATTTAAGTAAATTGAATGGGGCCTGCGCTTGGCGAACTAATGAAGAGGGAAATGAGAGCGTGGCCTACCGCAGGGCGCAGCAGGCGGGCGGGAGGGCAGGGCTCTGCAGAGCAGGGCTGCAGGGAGGCAGAGGGGCCTCCACATCCCGAACCCTACAGTGAGGCCTTGGGCCAGCAATCTCCCCTCCCTGGGCCTCGGGGCCAGCTGCCAAGTGGAAAGCCCTCCCAAGGCTGGGGTCACCTACAGGCTGGGAACACTGAGAGCCAGAAAATGGTGCTTTCCCAAGTGGAGCCAGGGTGAAAGTGTCATCCAGGCTGTCACCTGGGTGTGACCTACGGACTGGGGACATCTGGGTTGACCCCCCACATACAGCCCTCCATCTTGTGTTCCCACATGTGGTCTCCTCCCCTCTTGTACGCAACCACCCCAGGTTCCTGTCACCTCTGGGAAGCCGTCCTCTCTCCCGGGGGCCACTCCCCCTGGGGAGCCCCTTCTCTGAACCCCTGACTATGCCCCCTATGGCCTAAGGGGCCTGGGATACACCACTGGACTCAGGCAATGCCTCCGCCACCCCTTGCAGTGGGGCTGAGGACAGAGGAACCCACAGGGTTGGCCAGGAGGGAGACCACTGAGCCACCCTCAGTGCCGAGGGGGTAAGTGGGACACTTGGGGACCGGAGCACGAGGATGCCATGTTAGCGGAAGGTGTGTTGTGCACAGGGCACAGGGAGGCTCGGGCATCAGTGCAAAGTGTGGTGTGAGCCGAGGGCAAGGGGAGCTGCGGAAGGCTGTGCACGGCGGGGAGCCCGGCCTCTGGAAACCTCTCTCCGGCCGTCCCGGGGAGACCGGACAGGAGGCTCACGTGGAGGAGCAATGAATGGAAGTTAGACCGAGCAGTGACGGACAAGGGGCATGCAGAGGTGCGCAGGGGTGCCCCGGTTCCTGCCTAGCTGCTTAGGAGGCAGGGACCTGGGTCTGCCTCACTCTCGCCCCAAGTGGGCCAACCCCAGCCCCGCTTCACATGAGCACTCAATCACCCACGCGGCAGACGCCTGAGCCCCTCCTCTGTGCTGGGCCGAGCTGGGCACGAAGGCCACCTGGGGGAACTGGACGCAGCCCCGGCCAGTGGGGAGACAGACGTGGGTGTTCGACACACCGGGGTGGATGAGGCTGGCTAGCGCGCCCCAGCCCCCCACCGTGCCCCTGCCCCCCACCGTGCCCCAGCCCCCCACCGCGGCCCTGCCCCCCACCGCGGCCCAGCCCCCCACCGCGGCCCTGCCCCCCACCGCGCCCCAGCCCCCCACCGCGGCCCTGCCCCCCACCGCGCCCCAGCCCCCCACCGCGGCCCTGCCCCCCACCGCGCCCCAGCCCCCCACCGTGGCCCTGCCCCCCACCGTGCCCCAGCCCCCCACCGCGTCCCAGCCCCCCACCGTGCCCTGCCCCACTGGCCTGCTCGTGGTGCTCGATGCCCATGCTGACGGTGTTGACCAGGATGGCCATCATGATGCCGCGGTTGAAGTACTTGCTGTCCACGATGCCTCGCAGCTTGGCTCGAGTCTCCCGCCACACGTCCCCGCACAGCCAGGAGGCCCCATCCACCTGCTCCTCCTCGTCCTCCTTCCCCAGCCCCGAGGAGGCCCCCTCCTCGCTGCTCCGGGAGCCATCCCCATCAGCCTCGGCCTCTCCGCTTCCAGAGCCTCCTGAGGCCAAGCCCTCCTGGCCCGAGTCGGTACTGCCCCGGCCCGAGGGCCGCCGGCCCACCTCGTGCTGGCAGTGGGGGCAGCTGGCCGGGTCGGAGGCCAGCATGGCAGAGATGGGCTGCACCAGCGTGTGGGGCGTCGGGTCCAGTGGGTTATGTCGGGGGCACAGCTCTGAAAAGCAAACAGAGGGCACACTCGAGGTCTCAGAGGCAGCAGCCCCTGTCGCCACCGGGCCCAGGGCCGAACCCTGGGACAGAGCTGCATGTGGGCATCAGGCCCCCATTGCCCTCGGGGTCTGGACGGGGTCATTGCCCTGGACGTGCCAGCCCCACCCAGAGGCTGAGCGGCCTGTGGCTCCTAAGGAAAGGGTTTCGCCTCCTGGGCTTTGTTTGCCCCTGTGCAGAAGCGAGGACCAGGGGTGCCCACCACGCGGGGCCGAGGGGTTTCCTATTGGTTGATATGCATGTTGTGCCTAGAACAGTGTCTGGGACGCACATACACGTTAGCCGTCCTACTTCATCACTTCCCGGCCTGTGGCCCTGGGCTAGTCACTGAACAGACCCTCCCCCTGCCCTGCCCCTCCCCACAGTCCTGGGTTCTGATATCACAGAGCTTGGGAAATAGCTTCTCAAAGAGCCAGACCAGTGTGGACGTGGACACTCCTCAGAGGAAGCCCAGGCGGCCCTGGTGGCCCTCAGTTCTCCCGCCTGCACAGGGGGCCTGCGTCCCAGGGAGGGAAGGAGACGGGAGCCCCTGGCAGGGAGCGAGCCCTCTCCAGAAGGTCCCCGGAGATCCGTGGCACAAGCTGAGACAGGTCCAGGGGAAGGAGGCAGGACAGGCCCCCAGGGCCACACAGGGGTGAGGGGGTGAGGGGGGTGAGGATGGGGGCTGCTGGAGCCTTCATCACCTCACCGCCCAGGGAGGGTGAGAAGCCTGGGCCCTGCTTGGACCCAAGCCAGCAATCTGCAAACCACTTCAAAGGCAGTTGGAGGGGCTCTCTCTGGGTGGGTTGGTTTCTTCTTTATGTTTGTCTGTATTTTCCTAGAATAAACATGCTTTGCTTGTGTAAGCAAAAATAACTTTGTTAAAGGGAAATAAAAACATATAATGTCTCCTTTCATTTCTACACTTGCCTCCGAATAGCTCCAATGCCCTGGACAAGGCCTCTGACTCATTCATCCGGGGAGCCGGGGCCGGGTGATCAGAGGCCCAGGGATGGGTTCCGCCTCAGCTGGGGAACAGGGCAAAGCCCCTCCTCCTCCTCCGAACCCCCCACCAGCACACGTACTCTGGGCTGGGCTGAGGGTGATGGCTCCCTCCAGAAACTCCCCTGGGACCTCCCTCCACGCAGGTCCCCAGGACAGGGCAATGCAGTAAACTCCCCTCCCCACATCACCCAAGAATGCCAGGAGCCAGCCTCACTCAGGTCCCCTGTCCCAATCTCAGGTTCCCAGAACAGGAGAGCTGCAGGGCCAGGGCCTGAACGGGCGGCCCCCCACTGCACGTGGCCTCCCCCTCACGCTCCAGGGGGACACTGAGGCCCGCAGCAGGCCCAGGGCTGTCCCAGGCATCACAGCAGCACCCACTCTGGGGCACATCCCTGCCACCTGCTGGCTTCCTTCTTAGCACCAACCGGAGCAGGACTGGGCCTGGGGTGGGACCCCCTACTGTGGCACATTTGCCTCCTCCTGGGGCTCATATCCCCCTGGAGGTGGCTCTACTGAGCCAAAACTCTGACATTATCCTCTTGGGGGACAATACTGCCCGCTCTGCTCTTCCTCAGGTCTCTTTGAACCACGAGCCCTTTCTAAGCCTAAAGTGCTGACTCTCAGAAACAGCCCATGACGATCAGGGGAGCAAAGAAGTGGACTGGAGGCAGGAGGTGGCAGAGTGGCACCAGTGTCCCCAGCGTGCCATGCCTTCACAGGGTGGCTGGCCCCTCTATTCCAGGTGGCCACTGCTAGCAAGCGCGTGGGCACGGCAGGACCCTGTGCGGAGCGCTCCTCCAGGGCCCGGGCCGGGTCCCCTGAGGCCAGGGCCAGCCCAGGCCAGGTGCTGGCGTGACAGGTGGTCGGGGAACAGGGAGGGAACGAAGGGGTGAAGCCCTAAGGGGAGACCTGGGATCTCGGCCTACTGGGCTGGCCCGCTCCGCTGACCCTGGGAAGACAGGGAGACATCCTTCCAAACAGTGTCATTTGGGAGTCTCCAGTCGGAAGCCCACGAGGCCCGCGTGGGGCACCCTGGAGGCCACGGGGAGGCAGGGCCACTTACTGAAGTGTCTGGGCTCCTTGGCGTGGGGGCCGGGCTTGGTGGAGGTGGGGACCTCCGGGCCCAGGGCCTGGCGCCGGCTCTGCAGGGCCTGGTAGAGGCCCAGGGCCCGGCGCTTGGCCTTGCGCAGGATGTGGCAGACGTACTGGAAGATCTCTTCATAGCAGTCGCCGGGCTCGGCATAGCTGGCCACCGTGCTGGAGGACAGGTAGCGCTGCCGCTGCTCCAGCATCAGCCGGTGCTCCCGCTGCTTGGTCTCCGAGAACTGGGTCGCTATGACAACGAGGCACAGGTTGATCATGAAGAAGGAGCCCACCTGTGACCAACGGGAGGAGAGGACAGGGACAGAGGGGACAGAGAGGTGTGGGGGTGGGGCAAGAGGGCAACAAGAGAGATGGAGAGAGACAGGGACATGGAGGTAGAACGGAGTGACGAGGCAGGGGGAAAAGCAGAGGGGTAAGAGGCAGGAAGGAAGAAGGGAGGAGGGACATGGACAGACATGAGACAAGACAGGGAAAGGACAGAGAGGGAGGCAGGCAACCAGAGATGGCCAGGTGCACAGAGACACAGGACACAGAGAGACACCGAGAGAGAGAGAGAGACAGGCTCGGAGAGGACAGACGCAGAGGGCACAGAAGACACAGAGTGACAGGGGCAGATGGACACGGGGGACAGAGTGGGAAAGGAGGGTGGGGGCCCGGAGAAATGGGAGGCACGGCACAGGTGGGGACAGGAAAAGAGCGCTGAGGCCCGGCTCCCGGGGAGCTCACAGCCGCAGGCGGCAGTGGCCCAGGCAGCTCTCCAGGCCCCCCGGAACCTGCTTTCCAAACCTGCCCCCCTTTGGCCCCCCAGGCTCTGGCCACAGCTGCCCTCCCACTGGGGACATTGCCACTGAGGCCAGGAAGGAAGGCACAGCCCTTCTCAGGTTGTCCAGGCCCCAGGTCCCACAGCAGCCCTGCCCTCTCTCTGACCTTGCCTTTGGCCCCAGATGGGCGTCCACACAAGAGCAGAGAGGCATCCCTGCGACCCGGGTTACCTCTGTGGCTCTATCTGGGCTCGGGCAGGGTGGTGGGAGAAGTCACCCAGTTAGCGCCAGAGCCCGGCCACCTCAGCTCCAGGACTTAGCTCCAGGGGCCCCTCCTGCTCTGGGCTCCAGAAGGCGAGCCCTCCCCTGGCATTTTCTAAGCCTGTGAATGGGCTCAGACCCTTCGGTGAGGGGGGGGGGGCTGTTCCTTACTCTCAGGCTGCCCACCCAGAGGTTCCTGCAGGCTGCAGCCCCAGTCACTGATTCACCCTTCCCTCCTGTTCCCTACAACATGGCTGGGGAGCTGGGGTTCTGCAGCCTCGAGCTGGGTCCTGCCAGGCCCAGAGGACTCTGGGAAAATTCCCAGGTAGGAACATGCCCCGTTCTCTCACTCTCCCAGTCATTTCCTTCACAAGCATTTCCTGGAGACCTGCTCCATTCCGGGCCTGTGTGAGGGGGATGGACCCTGCCCTGTGGAGCTCACACCTGTCAGCCTCCCGCCCAGCCTGCCTCTGCTGCTGTTGCTGCCCCGGGACCCAGGCGGCTCCGCATGCCCTCTGGACCACCACCTCCCAGCCTGCAAAACGGAAGGCTCAGGCAAGACCAGCTTAGCACTTCTCCTTGCACAGGAGGCACTGGGGACCTGGGGCTGAGGACTCCTCCCCAGCAGGGCGTCCCAGCCAGCACCTCACCGGTGACTTTGGGGCACCTGCTCCCCACCTAAGGAACAAGCAGGTGACACTGTATGGCCGGGGTTGAGGGAGCAAACGACAGCATAGTTGCTCGGGCTCTGCCTGGACTGTCATTGTCTCCCATTTCACTAGGAGCTCGGGAGGGAAGGGGCCTGCTGTGGGTCTCCCGGGTGGTTACCCAGGCCTCCAGCCTGTCTCTGGACTTCGAGACTTCTCTAGCTGCCCCAGCGCTCTCTGCACCCCCTGCTGGAGGAGTGAGTCTGCTGCAGGGTCTCTGGGAACACCCCTGCCCAGAAGGCTCCTCCTCTGGCTGTCACGCCCACTCCCCCTTTCCCCACCCCTGAGCCCTTAAGGCTCAGTTCTGGTGTCACCTTCTCCAGGAAGCCTCCCACTCCCACTTCTCCTCTGAGCTGGGTTAGAGGCCTCCTTGGGTGTCCCTCTATCATGGCTCCTAAGATGCTGTCTGGTTACTGCCTGCTGAAGCCTGCCTTGTCCCCAAGACAGTGAGCCCCTCCAGGGCAGGCCCGTCTGACTCACTCTCAGCTCCAGACACCCTGCCCTGGGCCTGGCGCAGTGCAGGCATCCCTGAGTGGGCTGGGGATGAGCCAACCAGCAGATGAGTGGCAACACTGAACAAAGTCTGCGCCTGCCTCCTTTACCCTGAGGGCCTCCTATGGGTCCCTGGCCCCGGCCTCCCCAGAAAGACATCAGAGCAAAACCAACAGCAGGTGGGTCATCTGTCAGCTTGCTCTGAACCCCTAGGACAAGGTCCCACCAGCCCAGGATGGGGTGCTGCTCTCTCTCCCACCACCAGGAAGCCAGAGAAGCCAGCTCACAGCAGCAGCTGAGAAGCAGCAGCAACTCTCCCAGGAGTGAATCACCTTGACATCTGGGGACTGTGTGGGGACTGTGGCTGCAGCTACAGCCAGGCACAACACAGCGATACAGAGACACAGCGGATGGGGAAACTGTGGGGGTAGGGCAGGAGGGGCTGGCCACAAGGGGGCCCTTGTGCAGCAGATGGAGCCCCGCCTTCAGCTCCATGTCACCCCCACAAGGCAGGGCTGCCTGAGAGGTGGGGTCCCTCCCAGAGTGTCCTGGGGCTCCGCCAGGTCATAGCAGCCTCAGTCTCCTCTCCAAACCCTGCTTGGGAAGCAGCCCGGGCCTCCGTTTCAGAGCACCCTGTCTTCCTGCCCCGAGAACAGAGGGGTAAGCAGAAGCCCTGGAGAAGCTTCCACCCTGGGGCTGCACGGGGCTCAGGTCAATGAAACACATGTATCCCGGAGACTAGGAGGCAGAGAAACAGGAGCGGAGCCACGGGGTGGACTCAGATGCCAGGAATGAGAAATGAAGACAACCAGAAGTGACAGATGCCTCCAGCCACCACCCCCAATGCGTCCTTTCAATCACCAGCTGCTGAGCTGCATTTTAAAAATCGCCACCCCTGCTCTCTCCCACCCAGCTCTTCTGGCTCTGAGGAGCTCCCTGGGGACCCCCACAGACCCCAACCCTGCCCCCTGGTCCATGAGTCCTTGAGCTTGCCTGGAAGGCCCTCGTCCCTGACACTTACTATGATGAGCAGGATAAAATAGATGAAGTTGTAGAAGGAGTGAGCATCCATCACGTAGTACATGATCTCCACCCAGCCTTCCAGAGTGATCACCTGCAGCCAGGACAGAGCAGACGGGGGGGGGGGGGGGGGGGCCTGAGCCGGGCCGAGCCTCGGGAAAGGCAGGCAGCAGAGGCAGCGCCCCTGACAGGGGCCCTACTGTGTGCCAGACGCTTTACACACGCCGCCTCTCAGACAGGGCAGCCATCTTCGCCCTCATTGTACAGGTGAGGAAACCGAGGTTCAGAGAGGGTAAGGCACCTGCCCAAGGGCACACGGCCAAGGAGTGGAACTTGACCTAGTCCCTGTCCAGCCAGAGCCCATCCCCTTTCCAGTCCACCACACCAAGGTGGGAGGGCTGGCCGGAGGGGTCCCTGAGCCCTGAGCTCCGGCTCCAGCTCACCAGTGGGCCACTCTCTAAACCTCAGTTTCTTCGGTGTGTGAGACTAACAGAGACACCCTAGCAGGGCTGGGGGCAGCTCAGCCGCTCCTGGGTGTGTGGCCATGACACAGCTGGTGGGACTCTGTCCCCAAACACTCCCCCCGGAGAGGGAGGTGGAGCAGCTTTGGGCAAGACAGACACAGGGTCCTCCCCAGGGCTGCCATCTTGCTCTCTTCCCACAAGGAAGGACCCACTGGGCAGCCCACCCACCCTGTGCCACAGGAATGTCCCACAGTGCAGCTGTTAGGCTGTGACCACATCTCGCCTGGGAGCTCTGAATCCCGTGATCCTGCCGCTCCCCAGAGTGAAGTGAGCAGGCAGCCGCCCCAGTGAGGCCCCACGCCCCAGGGGCCTCTCCCACTGCCCTCTGCTGCCCCCGCTTCTTCCCTGACAGCAGCGAGGTAGCCCTCACCCGGGGTGCACTGCACACAGCTGGCCCCTCTGCCCGCTCCGCCCCCACAGCGGCCTCACCTGGAAGATGACGATCCAGGCGTAGCCGATGTTGTCGAAGTTGATGGCGCCCTTGTGGGGGTTGGCGCTGCCCGTGCGGCACACGTTGTAGTAGCGGTTCCAGTTGATGCACAGCCCGCTGGCGTTGGGGTCCGGGCGCCCCGGCCCGAAGTCGTAGACGTCGTCCTTGGACAGGCAGCACTCTCGGCCCTGCTCCTTGAGCGGGGGGATCTCGTGGCAGCCCATGATGCCGTTGTCCCCCGAGAGGGAGCAGATGAAGGGCATCTCATCGTCCTCCTCCGGCTGGTAGTAGGGGGGCAGGGCCACATCCCCTTGTCTGTCCACAGACGATGGTGGTAGGAGAGGAGAAGGGGAGGGGTCACTGCCTTCACTCCGGGCCTTGGCACATGCAGGTCCCTCCGCCCGGGACACCTTTCCCCACATCTGCCTCGGCCACAGAAATTCCCCCAGAACCACTGTGGTCAGTTCCAGGGCTGCCCCACCCCAGGAGGCTTCCCCAAGGGATGGAGCAGAGCTGACCCTGGGCCCCCGGGGCCAGCCTGTGTCCTGCACCTGCCTCCACTCCTGCTCCTGGGACACCTGCACCCAACTCCACTGGGCGCTTTTAGGACAGGAACCGGGTCTCAGCTCCCCGGTCCCACGCTGTGTGCATGGCTCAGCGTAGGCACTCAGTAAACAGATGCCGAATTTCGCTGACCCACCCTTCCCATCTCCGGGACCATGGACGGGTTGCTTCCCCTCTCCAGACCTCACTTTCCCATCCATAAAACAGCGATGATGATCCCTGTCCTGCCCCCCCCCGAAGGGCTGGTTCATCTATGATTCACTGGAACCTCCACCAAAATCTCAACAGGCTTTTGTCCGTGGAACCTGGCCAGATGGGTCTAGGATTTACCTGGATGAGGGACCAGTCAAGACAATTTTTTTAAAACAAGAAATATGAGTGCAGTCCAGCCCTACAAGACAGCGAAATACTCTACAACCACTAATACAGTCATATTGTAACCAGAACAGAGAGACTCATGGACCATCACAGCGCACAGGGACAAACGCGTGTATGAAAGAGAACTTGACGTAGTACAGAGACACCTTTCAGACCCATGGGGAACGGAGGGACCAGACAACCAGCGGCGTTGGAACTACTGCTATTCATCTGAAAAGTAATGAAGACAGATTCCCGACCTCACACCATAAACACAACTATGCTTCCTGAGGACTTGGTATCCAAAGAAAAAAAAGAATGTAAATTTTTCATTATTCATTGTTTATATTTTGGATATATTAGCTTAAGTAAAATATATCATAAATTTTTTTAAAAACCAAACCTCCAGTGGATTTAGAAAGCACAATGTTAACTCAAGATGGACAAGACCAAGCTAAGAACCACATGGTCTCATGCATATGTGAGATATATAACTGAAACTCATACACAGCAGTATGGCAGTTACCACAGAGGGGAGGGGGGGCAGTAAAGGGTACAGGGGGACAAATATATAGCAACAGATGGTGACTTGGGGGGATACAGTGAACAATGCAGACCAGGTACCACAGAAATGTATGCTGGGTGCCTGCAGGGCCCCACCGACCAGTGACACCCCAATACATTTAAGTGTTAAAAAAAAGATAGGTAAGGCCTTCCCGGATAAGACACACAAAATCCAAATTCTACAGAGAAAAAGGTCAATCTTGACTATGTATGAATGTAAAATTTCCGAGAGAGAAACCATAGCACGCAAGGTAAAAAGACAAGCAACAAATTGAAGTAAAAGGGAGGCAAACTTTTTCTGTAAAGGGCCAGACAGAAAATGGTTTTCTTCAGTCCGTATGGTCTCGGTGCCAGGTACTCAACTCCACCCCCAGTGCGTGTGAAAACAGGCACGGGAAACAGGAATGGTGGGTGTGGCTGTGTTCCAATAAAACTTTATTTATAAAAACAAAAACAAAGTATTTGCAACATATAAAACAGATAAAAGATAACTATCTAGAGCATCTTAAAAACCTCCTATAAGAAAACTCAATAAGAAAATTAACAGTAAGAAAAATAAATCAATAAGAAAATAGAAAGAACCCACTAGGGGGGAAAAAGGACAAAAGAACAAAAATTCATGGAGAAAATGAGAATGGCCAATGTGCAGGAAGCGACGCTCACCGCCCACAGGAGAACGCAAACAAAAAGAACACTGTGGTCGTTTATATCCATCCGAATGGCACACGTTTCAGGGTTGACAGTGCTGAGTGTGCAAAAGGGTGTGTGCCAACCGACTCGCTCACACACTGTTGGTGAGAGCGGAAACTGTACACCCATTTTCGGGGGCGCTTTGGGAACCTCCGTCAGCAATGAACACGCACACACCCACCCAAACACCTACGGACACCTGCCTGCCACGGAGGCCCCACAGCAGCTCAGCGGAGGCAGGGCAGGCTCCTCAACCAACCTAACGGGACAAGGAGACATGGGGGGGAAAAGCGGATCCCAACCCCCACCACGTACTATCCTAGAACCCATTTCAGATGGAACATGTGGTCCTAAATGTGAACGACAAAACAAGAAAGCTTTCAAAGTGACCATCGGAGAATATTTTCATAACCTTGGGTGAGGAAAAGATTCCTTAAATGAGACACAAAAAGCAGTACTTTAAAAATGATTGATAATCTGGACTTCATTACCACTAAGAGCTTCTGAGAGTGAAAATGGAAAACTCAGACTAGAATAACATACCAAATACCCACCACAGGGCTCAGATCCAGAATATAAAAAACCACCACAAATTTACAGGAAAAAGAAAGACCGTGCTATTTTAAAATGGCTAAAGACCATAACAGACACTGTACAAGAAGATATGCAAATGGCTGATAAAACACAAAAGATGCCTACCATCATTAGTCATCAGGGAAACACAAATTAAAACCAGTCGGAACCAACGCCGAGTTTTGCCCAGGAGGTGGGGCGACCAGAACCCTCAGACTGCACTAGGGGACACTGAGTGCGACTGTCTGGGAACACAGGGTTGGCAAATCCACTGAAGCAAAACATACGCACACCCCTCACCTGGCGATTCCATCCCCGGTGTCTACCCAAAAGGAAAGGGTGGCTATATTCACCCAAAGACGTATACAAGAACGTTGTGAGTCATGACACCCAAAAAACCAGAAACAACCCAAATCAACAGCAGAGTGGGAGAAGAACCGGCAGTATCCTCCCTCCAGGGAATGACACAGCGGGAGCCACAGACACACGGCAGCCTGGATGAATCCCACAACATAACATGCAGAGCCCAAGAAGCAGCCCAAGAAGCAGTCCCGGATGATTCAATTTAAAGAAGCCTCAGTAACGGACACGACAAATCCATGGTGACAGAGGTCAGAACAGTGGCTGCTCGGGGTGAGGGGTTGGTCACTGGGAAGGCACAGGAGGGAGCCTTTCCAGGCGTGGAAGTTTCTCTGGGGAGAGGGACACTCCACAGACCCAGGGAAAACCGCCTGAGGCTGCACATGTCACGCCCATGCCTGCTGCTAAATGTGATTTATATCTTAACAAAAAAGTATTGAAAAGGTACAAAAACTTGGACCAGCAATTACAGGCCTAGCTAGCCACGGAGCACCCGTGCACACCAGGCCCTGCGGCCTTGCACGTCAGAGTGAAAACACCACCTTCTGCTTCGCTGAGGGCTTGGTGGTGGCAGCCCCTCAGGTGCCTTTGTTGCCTGGAAGGATGAACGAAAGTGCCTTCCTGATCTCTCCCCCCAGCCTGGCACACCGCAGGCGTGCACTAATACATCTGACAACGAATGCACCCTCGTGTGCAGACACACCTGTATGCACACTCGAAGACGAGGCTGATCCCTCGCCGCTGGGATTCTGTAGATGTCAAACTTCCCAGGCAACGCAACCCAGCTCCTCCAAAAGCCAAAACTTCATTTCCATTTAATCAGCTGCTGACAGGCAGGTCTGAGGAACAGCCCACACCCCAGCTCTTAGACACAAAGGGGCCGCACAAGTGTTGACCCTTCCTGGGTGACTCGCAGTCACTAATAGGAAGAACCGGCTGCGCTGTAAGTACAGCGCCAGGTTCCACGTCTGCTTCTGAGGGTTTTCTGTCTGCTTTCTCCCTGGTGGCTTTACTTCTTCCCCTGGGTCTTCGCCGCCCTTGTCCTCCCATCCCACCTCCTTCTACGCTGGGCCCCTAAACAACACAGAGATTGTGCGGTCAAAAACCCATGCAGAGCTTCTGACTCCCAAAAACCTTAAGTACTAACAGCCTACTGCTGACCATACACCTTACCAATGACATAAACAGTCGATTCACACATTTGTATTATATACTACAGTCTTATAACAAAGTAAGCTGGAGAAAAGAAAATGTGAATAAGAAAGTCCTAAGGTTCGTCTGCAAGTTTCCTCAAATTGTCGCACATCTTCACGGAATTTTCCAACATGTTCGCTGGGAAAAGACTGCATAGGAATGGACCTGCACAGGTCAGCTGCAGTTCGCTGCTTCCACTCTGTTGGCCCCGATTCCCAGTTACCAAGTTAAAACTCTGTATTAAGTACAAGTCCCTGAGAGCTGGATTAGCACCAAGACCAGGACTTGGTGATGGGAATTTTGAGAGTTTGGAGGCCTTCAGTGCTCATCTCAGTGTCCAGCTGCTCAGGGGGGACCTACCACAAACTCACCTCGGCACATCCCTTGATCTCACCACACCACTGGGAGTTAGGATTGGGACCAGGTGCTCAATGGGGAAACCTTCCTAGCCCTAAAATATTCAACACCACGAGGCCCAGGGAAAACTGGCCAGGAGCCACCCCAGGTGGGCGGGGTGCCTGACTCACATGGTGAAGTTCTCCTCCAGGAAGCAGCGGTTGCGCAGCAGACCCGCCCACAGCTGCACGCCAATGATGCCAAAGATGAAGAAGACAAAGAAGCAGAGCAGGAGGACGTTCCCCAGCATGGGCAGCGTGTCCAAAAGTAGGTTCACCAGGATCCGCATACCTGGGAGGCCGAAGAGTGGAGGGTTATCAGACAAGCCGCAGAGAGGACAGGACAGGAGAGCAGGGTCAGAAAAGCAGTGGGGGCAGTGAGAGCAGGGGTGGGGACATGTGGCCCAGGGTTCCTCACTGCTCCCCACCTGTGCAGTGGCCACCAGAGAGGCCTTCTCCTTGGTGTCTGCCCCACCACCCAGAGGCCATGCAAATGGCTCTGGGCCCCAACACACTTCCACTAGATTGTGGTTGAATAAGCAGGCACTTATGAGCATCTTTTATGTGCCACGCAGTCTTCTGGGTAATACACAAGTATGATCTCCTTCAGTCTTCATGACAACTCTGTGAGGTTGGTAACTTTACCCCAACTTTATAAAAGAGGTTACTGGAGGTTCATCAAACTGAAGCTACTTGCCCAGGCCACACAGCCAGAAAATGGCAGAGTCTGGATTTAAACCAGGTGTCTTGACAGTAAGCCCAGCACTCTGCAGTATCCAGGGCCTGGGGCCTAGGCTGGCTCACCTCACTACGCTCAGCACCCACCCAGGATGGGCACACCCAGTGCCTAATGAAAGCATCCTGAATGCCCTTCATCTCCTGGGCAGCCAGCGGTCCTCTGATCACACCAGGATGCACCAGTACCAGCAAGAATCACCCTGGTGACCCAGCCCCTTGCATGATGGAACCAGGCAGAGCCACCTACAGAAGAGACATGGCCAGAGAGGGACTCAGCTCTGGCCTGATGTCAGAAGTGGCCTTTTCCCTTCCTGAGAAACAGCGGCAATGAACCAGTCAAGCCAGTGGCAAAAAGAGGAGAAAATGGGGAGATGGGTATGGAAAGAGGAGTCCCCAGGGAGGGTGACCCGAGGCAGGTTTCGGGCAGATGGGGGAGGCAGCAGAATGTGCTAGTCACATTCTGGAGTGGCTGCCATGCTGAAACCAGCAGGCAGTGAAGGCCTGGGGGAAGCATGCAGCCTCTCACTCACAGAGATCCCGGTTCAAATCCTGCCCTGCTGGCCTGTGGGACCTTGAGGCTGTCCCTTTCCCTCTTGGAGGATAAGGCCTCTCGGCAAAAGGGCCCAAGAAAACAACAGCCACCCTGCAAAGGTCCCCAGCTCAAGGGCCACACCCCCCAGAGGAAATGGAGAACACAACCAGCTTCCAACTCCACCCCACGCACTTAGTCAGCCTTCACACATCCTTCCTTTCTGCCCCCTCGGGCCCTGGGTTGCCTTTTCTCTCTCTGCAGCCTCAGTCCCCGACCTCACAGCCCACCTGCGAAGGTGACCTTCTCTCCCCGGTGTGGGTGACAGCCAGCAGAATGACTTCAGTGTGTTACCCCCTCCTCCTGACTCCGTGCGCGGAGGTCCAGCCGCTCTAACCACTGGAGAACCCACAGAAGCACAGGGCCCAGGCAACTGGGTCCCCTCTGAGGTTTTGTCCAGCCACCTTGCCCAGTCCTGGGCTGACATGGAGATCACATGACCCAGGCCTGGCCAATCCGAAAGTTTTGATCCCCCAGCCCCAGGGTGTTGGTCCAGGATGGGCGTGTGACCTGAGCCTGTGACAGAGAGGGGGTGATTCCTGACAACAGCCACTCTCTAGAACACAAATCTGGACACGTCACCACCATGCATGAAAACCTCAGGTCCCCATCAGCTCCAGACGCTGTGGGGTCGGTCCCCAGAAGGCAGCTCGCAAACCCTGTGAAACTGCTGTAGACGATGCAGGCACGATGACAAGGGTTTTTCTGGGAGAAGGTCAACGCAAGTGTCTGCCGCTCCAAAGAGGGTCAAACGCTGGTGTGTCACCTTGGCTGCACATGCCCCCAAGACCTTGGGAGGTTCATCTCCCTCCCCCCCCCCCACCGGTTTGCGCCCTGTGCAATACCAAATTATCCGAAGTTCCCTAAACACACCACGGGTTTCACACCTCCGCGCCTTTACTCATGTTATTCTCTCTCTTTCTTCCATGTCTCTTGTGCCTGGAAAGCCCCTGTTCGGCCACCACAGCCCCGTTGAAGCTCGACTTTCTCCCTGTGAAGCCTTCCTGAACGATTTCCCACTCCCTCCCAGGTACAGCCCATCCCTCTCCCCCGGGGCCCTGGGCAGTCTCAGCACCACTGACCGAGCCCGGACCGCGGTGTAGGCTGTGCAGGCCCGTCAGCATCTGGTCTTCCCGCCCCAGCCCACAGCTGCCAGTTTACCGCCCCCCACTCCCGCCGTCCCATCCACTGGGCTGTGAGCTCCTGGGCCTGTGACTGGGGCACCCCAGGCTCCCGGAACCCAGCAAGTCCTGGCCCAGAACAGAGGCCCAGCCCGTGTCTATTGGGTGATGGCTCATGAACACATGAAGGGGTAAGTCGTGAGGAGAGAGTGGCAGACAGGACACGGGGGATGGAAAGATGGGGGTAAGAACAGTGGCACGTCTGGATTTTGGTTCATTCCTGGCATGATAGTGACCCTTTAACAAGGGTCATTATTTGGGGTGTGCATCAGGATCTCTGTGTGGGGTGAGTGCCCACCTTCGCCCTCCCTCCCCACAAACTAGGTCAGCCCCCCTCGGAAAGGCAGCGGGGCTCCCTTGCAGGCAGCTGCCTCCAGCTGAGAGCAGAGCATGGTAAGTGAGGACCCAGTACCCCAAATCCTCACATCTGCCCCCCACCAAAAGCATAGCCAGGGATGTTGGGAGGAGACAAGCAAAAAAATAGATCAAGTGCCTGCTAATCCATCCAAATGTCAACCAAGTCATCACAGGCCTTTCTGGGGTCCCACCAGCTGCTCACGCACTGAACACTCATCGGCACGGCTGCACGCCAGGCGAGAGGTGGGCTGCTGTGGTCCGAGGGCACACAGGTCCATCTTCTACCCCCTTGGAACTAGCATCAGGGGGACAGGAGACTCCAGGTTGGGGGAGAAGGGCAATGCCTGGGGCAGGACAGCTCTGAGCACTTTCCCAAGGGGCTGACTTGAGCCGGACCCTTCATATAATGGGAGCTTGTGACAAAGGCACAGAGGATGACCCTCCAGACAGTGTGCCAGGGGGTCTAAGGAGTGTGGGCTCTGTGCTAGCTGACTGGTCGGGGAGGCCAGCGAGCAGATTTCTAAGCCAGCCAAGCCCTTGATGGGCTCTGAGGTTGAAACAAGAAGGGGCAGTTCTGGAGGCCAGGGCAGAGGCTAGAGGCAAGCCCAGAGGGCCAGGCAACGGCTGTGAGAAGGGGCTGGACCAAAAAGGCCTCAAGAAGTCAGGAGGCAGCTCAGCGCAATCCAGGCGGCTCAGCGCAATCCGCGCCTGGCTGCTCCCCAGAGCCCAACCTTTGTTGCCCAATTAATTACATTTTCCTTGTTCTCCAGGATATGAAACTTCTGAATGGCTCCTGAAAACCTGCCCGCCTGGCTTCCCTGAATGGCAGCCCAATCCCTCCTCCCCCACCCCCTCTCCTGGACCAGGCCCCAGCTCACTTCACAGTTCTCCCAGAGAGTCCCCGGGCCATACTTAGCTATCGGGGACTAAGAATGAGTCTATCACTTCCATGCCAGGGACAGGGAGCCATGGAACTAGGAAGTCACGGAGGAGCCCCCGAGACCCTGGCTAATCCTCCTTTCATGCCCACAGTCCAATAATCAGCCAAGGCAAGTAGGATGTTTCCACTCTGCCCTCTGCTCCCCTGGCACCGGGCATTGGAGATGGAAGCGGAGAGGGGAGAAAGAGAAGGCTGAGGAGAGGGGTGGAATGGGGGGCGTGGGAGCAAGAGAGGAGCTGGGACATCTCCAAGATTCGGGGCTCGAGGCCAGAGGCATGGTGGCCAGAGGCCATCAGTGGAGATGGGAACCCATTCAGACATGTGGAGTTTGGGGTGCCTGGTGTATATTCATATAAAGTTGTTCCATAAGATCTCGGGGTCAGGGGTTCAGGAGAAAGGAGTGTGGCCTGGAGTATCACGTGAGTGGCACCAGAGGAGAGACAGTGTTTGGATCGATGGCATTTCAATCAGAAGCTAGGAGGAGACAGATGACAGATGGGCGAACGGATGGAGCCACTCAACCTCTTCACCCCCTTTCTCCAGGGGCCCTGAGACAGGACCCTCTGTTCTAAGGGAAACTGGGCAGCAGCCAGGCAGGGAGACCTGTTGGTGGCAGCAGGGGACCTGGGAGGAGCAGGCAGGTGGGCTTCCTGGCCGGCATGGCCCCTGGAGGCCCCGGTCTCTCTGCACACAGGCGTTGTCAGCCCAGATTAGCGCAGCCACGCTGCCAGGCCAGCTCAGGTGGAAACAGCCCCACTCACAGAAGCTTCTGCTGGGGCTGCAGCCCGCAGCCAAGAGGAGGGGCCGAGGGCAAGAGCACCTGAGGCTGCAGCCTGGCCATAGGGTCCCCCTCTCTCTCTGGTCTGTCCAGGGGAGTGGAGGGTGCTGAGTGACCAAGAAAGGCCGTCTGCTGCTCCCACCACTGCCAGTGCCACCTGGTCAGGGGCACAGTGGGTGCCCAGGAGGTCAGGACATGCAGCGTACAGCCCAGCCCCAGGATATAGCTGCTGTCCCAGCCCAGATGGGGCGCCGATGAGCTGATGGGGCCTCAGCACCCACTCCTACGATAGGAAACACACCCTAGCCCAGAAGTGGGCACCCCTGCACCCTCCATCCCAGAAGAGGCCATGGGTCCCTTCCCAAGGCCGTCATGCCCATGGCCTCAGGTGTGGGTCTGGCCTGGGTCCCACTGAAGGGCCCTGCACCCACCGTGGCACAAAGATCTACTCACTCTTCAAACGTCCTGACCCCACTCTTCTGTGAAGCCTCCTTTAAGTACGTGGAGGCCCTTCCCCTTGGCCTCTGTTAGAGCACGTGTCCCACTGGCCCATAGCTCCTGGCTCACGTGTCTGCCTGCAGAGGACGGGCTGTATCTGAATCTTCTCCAAGACCCCACGTTTGACCCAGGGCCTGGCCTGGTGGCTACTTTGGGTGGATGGATGGATGGATGGATGGATGGATGGATGATACACAGTGGTCCACTCCCTTGACCTGCTGTTGCGCCCAGCGATCGCTCCCCCCATCTCCAGTTTGTAGAGAAAATGTGACCCTGGGGAGTGGGGGCAGGGGGGTCTGCCTTCACCTTGCCCCTACCTCCCAGCGTTTCCTCTCTCACCGTCCTGGCTGCTCTTTCTTGTTCCTGAGTCAGGCTCTCACCAGATGTTTTGGCCAGATGTTCTCCCACCTCCATCTCTTCAGAGAAGCCCAGTCCCTGGGGAAATCAGGCCCCTCCCCTCCATCTTCCCCCTCCCTCCCTGCCCCCATCTTTTCCTTCCTCCCTTCCTTCCTTCCTTCTTCATAAGAGCTGCCAGGCCTCTCTCCCACAGGGTGGCTTGGGACCCTTGTTGGTGCCAAGAACAGATAGCCCGGAAGTCCAAGACGCGCCTGTGGTCAGAGCCTCCCTCAGCGACCCCCCAGGTGCCAAGTAAACACACACTCCAAGTGAAAACATGGAGATTTCACAAAGGTTTGTTTCCAAGCGTGTCTCTCAGCCCCCTTTTCAATAGACGGCCCCCAGGACCGAGTCCAAGAAGTCCTGAGGCCTCCCTCCTCCATCTCAGTGCGGCTGGCCTGCCCTGGCAATGACCTGGCAGAAACAGCCAGAGCAGACCTGGGCTGCCAGGGCCAGGGCACAGCCATGAGTCCAGGGCCCCTCGGTCCGACGGGCAATCGGAAGCACTGTGCCTCCAAGACAAGACTGTTCTGAGGCTTCTCCTTCTAAAACCGAGTCTAGCATTCCGCAGTGGGATGGATGATGCTAAGATTCTCCATGATTCCCAGCAAGGCTAACTCCGAGCTCTCAGGAGTAGGAGATGCCCACACCACTAATGTGCAGCGCCGGCACCTTCACTGGGCACAGTTTGCTGCCCCACGGTCTAGCTCGGGGTTGGGGGGGCCCGGAAACTGAGACATGCGAGGTGGACCCGACCCACTGGACACGCTCCAGGCTCAAAGTCTGGAGGGCTACCTGCCCTGGAGACTGCGGTCTACGGCCCTGGCACAGGGGTCCTTCCTTGTGAGGAAAGCTGGGGCAGAGCAGTTCACTGGCACTGCAGACTCGCCACTGGAGGTGCCATGTGCACCCCACTGTGCAGACAGGGGAGTGAAGCAGGACAAGACTTTCCCCAGGCCCCGCAGCCAGTGAACGCAAGACCAGGCTCTGCGTGCAGGCAGGGCAGCCCAGCGGCCAAGCGCTGCGTGAACCACTGCACTACCCTGCCTCCTGCCCTGGCTTGGTCCCTAAGGCTGCACAGGACCCGGCGCCCAACAGTGCGAGGCACTCAGAGGGGTGCCTCAAGGACATCGTTTCAGCCTGTGGGGCCCTTCTGCATTGACCCTGGATGTGGGCGGGGGGCCTTCAGGATGCCCTGCAGAGGGGCTGGGGGGCTGGGTGCCTACATGCTAAACGGAGAGAAAGGAGGTCATGAAAAGGTGTGAAAAGCTCTGGGGTAGTACAAGCACAGGTTCAAATCCTCGCTCTGCCCCAGCCAGCTGTGTGGCCTCTTTAGAGGGTTACTCTGGAGCTCTCTCTGACTCAGTTTTCCCATATGTAAAGTGGCCCAGTATCCTAGGGCTTGTTGTGAAGATAATACCACCTGTGTAAAGCACAATGATGGGTGTGTCGTAGCACCTGACAAATCTTAGACACTTATTATTAGTACTTCTGTGGAAGATTTGGAAAATCACCTTCCGCTTGGCCCACCTGCAGTCCTCTGTTCAGCCACACGGTCCCCGGGCTGGCTCCTCCTCCCCACCTTCGCGTGTGGGGGTTGTCTTCCAGGAACACCCTCCCGACCCTCTGTGCACTTGGTGAGCGCCTTCCAAGGCCAGGTTCTGCCCAGACGCCCTGAGGCTGCCCCCTCCATCCTCAATGCCCCCAGCACCTCTTTGTAACAGGGGCACCGATTAACCACTTACTGCACATGAGGCTCCCCGTTAAGCTCTTTATGCACACTGCGGTATTTCATCCTTACCAAACTATATGGAATGGGTATCACGAGCCCCATCTCATCATAGGAGAAACGGAGACCCAGAGAGGAGCAGGCAAGTGGAGGAACGAGACCCAAAGCCCGTCAGTGCAGAGCGAGCCTCCAGTTCCTGGTCCTGCAGCTGGGGCCTGGCAGTGGCCTTCCCACAACACTGTCAGCTAGGCGCTGCCCTAGGAGGTCACTCTCCACCTCTTGGCACCGCCCACCCCAGGCTCCACCCAGAGGCCCCTGGGTTGAGATGAGTTCTCCCTGAACCAGGGACTGTGGTTGGGCAGGGCCCTGCGGGGTGGGCAGTGGCCCAGACCAGGCTTCCCCCAGCTTCTCCCCCCCCCAGCTCCCCAGGCCTCTGTACCCGCCTCCACAGCCGGGCCCGGGGATGCTGTGCCCAGGTGCACATGTGAGCCAGCAGCTCAAACGCAGCTGGCTCGGGCCCTGGCGGTGATTGCCCTAGTTTCTCGCTGGAGAGAGGGGGGTAACACACTTGCACAATTAAACGGCTTGGCCAGCAGGCTTTGGAAGCACTGCACAGGCTTAAGGGGTGTGTGGGCCCGGCAAGGACGAGGCGGCTGGTGCCAGAAGGGAGCAGTTTTAAAGGTAATCCGGCCCCATCTTGCCAAGACTCAAAAGGGCTAGTGACTGAGGAAAGGCCACACAGCAAGCAACCAGAACCCACCTTCCTGACTCAAAGTTGGGTGCTTCCTCCCTCCCTCCCCAACCCCTTTCCCCATCCTGCCCCCTGTCCTTTATCCAGTGGTCAAGTGGCCAAAGAGACCCGCAGGGCTGGCCTGGAGGGACACGTTTTAACGGGCCTTTACAAAGAACACCGTGACTTACAGGTCCTCCACCCATCCTGGACAAAGTTGAAAACCATGCATCTAATCAAGCCCTTGCTCCTGCTTTGTGCAACTGGGGAAACTGAGGCCTGAGACACCAGGGGACACCCCAGCTCTCACGGCACGTTCCTGGCACAGCTGAAAACCAGGACTCGCATCCCCAAATGACCCAACCGAGTCTTCCTGGCCAGTTGTGTTTTTAAACTACTTTTTAAACGGCAGGCAGCCACCCCACTCTCCACAGCTTTGTAACTAATAACCTATAATTTCACTTTGCCTATTCCCAACTCTCCAGCCTGCCACCTAGTGGCGAACCGGAAAGCTACAGGCTATTGTTGATCGAGTGAGTAGAAGCAACTCTAAAAATATAGGGGAGGATGTGGAATGTTTCAGGGAAACATCTAGAAAAAAAGGAAGTAACCAGCCAAACCTCCCTAAGAGGCACTTCAGAGAGCCTGTGTCCCCCCACGTCACTCATTCCCTGGTGACTCTGGGCAGAGGGCCTGGCACCTGGGATCAATGGGCTTGCTCTGACCTCCTGCGGCTCCTGTTAACTAAGTTACGCAGGAACATGAATTTACCTTAAGCCCCCTGCCCAGGGGGAGCAGTGGAAAGTGTCTAAGTCGGGGGAGGGGCACTGGTTATATTTCGGACCCCAGGGGGTTTGTGCTCTAGCCAGGTTCCTTTGCCAGCTGAGAGGGGGAGGCAGCTTAGAGCGGAAGCCAGCACTCCCGACGCATCCGCCAGCTTCCCAGTGCGGCCGATCAGCAGAGGGAGGCCCTGAGGCTCCCCAAACTCTCTGAGCGCTCTGGTCCCTGCAGATCCTAAAAGTGGAACCTCTAAGAGGGAGCACAGGGTCATCCAGCCCTTCCCCAGAGAATCAGGCAGTCTGGCACTGGGGACTTGGAAGTGACCTCCACAGCCAGGAGCCATGGAATGAGCTCCTACACAGTGGGAGAGGGAGGAAGGGGGGACATGTGCCTACATACCTGTGTGCACATGTGTCACATGTGCACACCCCACAGATGCATACCCCCGTATGCACATGCCCTTACATATATACAGCCCCACATGTGCACACCCACACATGTGCGTATGCCCTCACATGTGTGCACACGCACTCACATATGCACACATACCCTCATGTGTGCACATCCTTCACACGTGGGTAGGTAATACAGCTCAAGTGCTAAGTCACTTGGCTCAACTGAGGGAGAGAGTCAAGGGATCTTCTCCTTGGTAAAAAGCTGCCCAGTGTCCTCCCTCAAACTAAGCAGTCGCTTGTCACACCTTGCCCCCTGTGACAGCCACCTCCCCCCAAAGAACCTTGCTCCCAAAGAGCCAGACTCCCCAGCATGCTGCAGTCCAAGGTTTGGGGGGCTCAGGCATCAAGGCCACCCTCCAGCATCTTCAGGCCCAAACGCTGACCCATGAGCCCCATGAGAGCAGGACCACCCTCTGGACGGTCACTGAGAGGTCCCATGGCCAGCACAGGCCTGGCACTGAAAGGTTCTGGTCAATCTTTTCTGTTGAACGGGTATCTCTGTGGGCCAGGGATGGGGAAGGGCGCCAACTCACTGGGCACACGGTTGATGGCTTTGAGGGGCCTCAGGACACGCACGGTGCGGATGGCCGACAGGTTGATATTCTGAAGGTCCAGTGAGTACTCCACCATCCTGTGGAGAACCGGGAAGAGAGTGAGGGATGCTGCAAGAAAGGCGGAGCCGAGGGCCACACCACAGAGGTCTCTGGCCACCCACACTCCCCCATGTGTGCCCACGCATGCCTGGGAGGAGTAAGCAGGGAAAAAAGGTCTGAATCCAGGCTGTGCCTCAGGCCCCTGCGTGGCCTCGAGCTGTCTCCTCGCCTGAACAGGAGCTGTGACACCGCCCTCCTAGCATGTCCTGAGGATCAGTAGTTTTTGCTGGGGGCAGAGGGAATGGAAGAGCAGAGACCCTGGGTCCCCACTGTGTGCCAGCACGGGGCCAGGTGGCCCCTGCCCCCACTTCCAGAGCAGCCCCAGGAAAAGGGAGGGTCAGCTCCTCAGAAGGAGGTCAGAGGAGCTGAGACCCCTGGGCTGACCCCGATGGCAGCTGGATGTCACCATCCTCATCTCTGTCCACTGAAATGCTACTGATGCTTCAAAACTCTGCAGCGTTGCCTTTGGAGTCCTGGAGGTTTTTCCACACCAAGGTCCACACTGAACCAAGCCAGTGTTGGTGAAAACAAACCAAGAATGACACCGACCGGCCCCTACCCTCAGTGGCACCCGCTTGGGCCAGGAGAGACGCAGAGGCAAGGACAACACTGGAGCCCTCCCTACTGTCCTGGGTCTCATCTTGGGGCAGCGCCACATAGGCCTTCCCTCTGCCTCCGTGGTCAACAGCCCCGCAGCTCCCCAGAGGCAGTCCGCCTCCTCCAGGACGGCTCCCAGGTCTCCACAAGAGGCAGGTCTCAGAGGCCTGCCCAAGTGGTTCCCTACCCTTCCACCAGAGGGAGCCAGGCTGCACAGTTGCCACCTGCCCCCCTCCCCCCACTGACGCAGGGCCTGCAGCCCCAGCCTGACCCCAGTGCTCCACTCACCAACCCTTCCCCCCAAGCCCCCAAGCCCCCAAGCCCCCGACCCAAGGCTCCAGCACCGCTGCCAGCTCCACCTGTCCCCACCCACCGTCAGCAGGAAATGAAGCCTTTTTCTACGCACAGGCAAACCTGTCTGACTGTTGTGCAGCCACCGCCCTCTCCCGCTGCTTGAAGAGTAATTGAGTGAAAGCTTCCTTTGCCTGAAATGCCTCATCCATCCCCCAGCTTTCTGGGGCACAGGCGCTGGCTCTGTTCTCTCTCCTCCTGCCCCACCTTCTACCCCTCACACACACACAGAGCCAAGCACCTGCACACAACCACTGGTGCACACACACACTCCTTGGACACCCTCATCAACACACACTTTACCAAAGCCCAAATTCAGATGAGGGGGTGTGCCAAAAAAAGGTGACAGAGCCCTAGAGCTAGAGACAGCCCTGGGGGATCAAAGGAGGAGGGAGGGAGGGAGGGAGGAAGCCAGGGTGCGGGGGCAGCATCGAGGCCTAGAGGGAGAGGCTTGGGGTGGGAAGTGGGGGGCATGGTGTGAGGGCAGAGCAGGGTCTGAGAGGGGCGCCGGGAGTAGAGAGACATGAGGATTCCGAGCGTGGGTGAGCCAGACTGTCATTTTCGTGTTTTGTAGAAAGAGCTCTCCAGGCAGCAGAGGAGACATGTGTGACGAAGGCGCTGCGGGGGTGGCACACATGGGCACACAAACAGGCACACTCTCACTGGTGTGTGCACACGCACGCACCAGGCTAGGAGGGCCACCACGTAGCCCCATCGCCCGCTGCCAGGCTCAGCTCCAGCCCGCCCCTCCCCCACACCCCCCACCCCACCCCCACACAGGAGCGCAGCCCTCTTCCTCCTGCCCGCCCCTCCCCATCCTGCTGAAGGGCGTGGCCAGGAGGCCCTGGGGTGAGCTGTGCTGCCAGGGTTTTGCCCAGGGTGCCAAGGGTAGGGGTTCCCAGTGGAGGCCGGACTGAAGTCACCTGGTACTGTGTGCCAGGAGCCCCAGGGCTCACCTGCAGAGCTCCAGCAGGTGCCAGACCAGGACTGGCTCCCACCTGCATGAAGTCTCATGATAAAAATAAACAGACGCTTCACAGAGGACGGTTAGATGGGAAAAAACAAGTGGCCTCTGCAGGCCAGCTGCCCGTCGGGCACAGTTCTCACCTTCACCCCACGTTGACCTGTTTGAGTCTCCCCCCATTACGAGGGTCCCACACCTACCCTATGCCTGCCCCCTGGACCAGGCCAACCACAGCTACAAGCTGCCCTAGTCACGGCTGCTGTGGGGGCCCTCAGGACAGCCCCGCTGGTCTCCAACACCCCGTCCCACACTGCTGCACAAGGTCCACGTCCCTCCTCACAGAACCCACGGCCCACAGTCTGGGACTATTAGTTCTTCATCATGTGAAGGCCATCATCTTGGCCCTTGCCCTTTACCTTTGACCTGACCCCCAGGTCTCCAGCGTGGGAACATAACTCCTGCAAAAATCCCTAAGACCTCATCAACTGCAGCCCTCCAGGTCCCCACTGAAAAGCCCCCAAAGAGAAATTTCTTTGAGAATTTAGTGTCAAGATCTTAGCTCTGTCTGAGCTGCCTGGCAGCCAAGTCAAAAGGGGAAATGAGATGAGTGATTTATTGAGTTCTTAGCCCCACGAAAGATCTTGGCACTGTGGGTCCTTCCAGGGAATCCATTTGCCTAAACATTTCTCCCAGGTCCTAACTTTCTCTTCCATATTCTGTGAATCTTTTGGGGATGTTTGCTGCCCCTGCCCCTCCTGTCTGGGGGAACAAGACCAGGCGTAAATGCATTCAGTGATAAAGAGCACATAGTAGGTACACAGTGAAAACTCCTAAAATTCTCATTCTTCTCTGAGAGGAAGCAGATACACCGGGCAAGGACGGGGAGAGACGGGGATTGCATGCAGCAGGAGCGAGAACCCTGCGTTCTCCTCTCCACCCTGGGAAGCACCCACCCCGGTGGCGACTCCGTGCACCATCAAGCCCAGCGTGGGACGGCCCTCTGACAGTGCCGCCACCCCCACCCAAGTCCACCACCCCCACCCGAGTCCAGCAACCAACTCTCTCTCTTGGCAGCTACAGCAGCCTCCCCGCTGGTCTCCCGCCTCCTGCCTCCTCCCCCTACAGCCCATCCTCAGCAGGAGAAAACCTCCTAGAACTCAAACCTAGCTGTGTCACTCCCCAAGTTAAACCTCCAATGTCTCCTCATTGCCTTCAGACCAAAGGCTGAACGAGCCCCTGGCCACAGCCTTCAAGGCCCTCTTGTCTGCATCTGTCCCCTCCCACCAGCTCTGCTCCTACACCAGGTATCCCAGGCACCACACCAGGCCTGCGAGTTCCCAAAAAGCGCCCTTCTCTGTCCCCTGTCCTTCGTGTGGTGCCCTTCCTCCATATTCTCACTCTCCCTTGCAGACCACCTCCTCCGTGAAGCCTTGCCCAGGCCCTCCCTGCAGCCCAGGCTGAGCTCGGCCGGCTCAGCTCTGGCCCCTTCACACAGCCTCAGTTCCCTGAGCTGAGGACTGGGAAGCAGCAATTTATCTGGGAGGTGATCCCAGGAAGCACAGCGTCAGAGGGGGAGGAAGAAAAATCAGTGAGGGGCTGTGCATCAGCAGGTGAGTGCTGTGGGCAACGGGGTGCCGTCCTCGCAGAACACTGTGGTCCTCAGAATCAGACCAGTGAGGGCAGGGGCTGCAGCATCATCCACGGTCTGGTCGAATACTGGCAGAGCCCCTCTCCTCCTCAGACGCAGCCCCCTTCCCCCGCCCCGCCCCACACCAGCCCCGCCACCTGCCGCACACAGTAGGCACTCACGGAATCTAGTAGCAAGAGTAACACCTGTGACAGGTGTTATCCTACCCTCCTCTACCTGCTTCCTCCCCTGCCCACCCCCCAAAAAGGGAGGTGAAGCGGAGCCACTGTGGGTGAAGAACCTCAGGGCTGACTTTCCTCAGGCCCCAAGTAAGACATCACTGGCAGGAGTGAGAAAATGTTAATTCCTAATTACACAGTTATTTTACCAGGCGGCTTCAGTGCTAAAAGTCTAAAAAAATCAACAAAACCCCCACCACCTCCTGCCAGCTCCCTAGCGCCTAATGAGGTAAGTAATTTTGCTGTAAAGTGAGCGCTTTTGTACTGACATTACCCCAGGGGGAGGTGGCTGCACCCTGTCCCCAGGTGTCAGTGGGGAGAGGGACTCAGGTGTGGCTGCGCTGGGGTGGGGCTGGAGGGCGGACAGTTCGCTCTTCAGGACACAGCCCCAGTCGTTCCTGCCGAGGCGCCTCCCTGCTCCCCCTGGATCCCACGAGGGGCCCAGAGACTCGGGCCTGGGGACATCCCCCAGCCACCATCTCTGGCTCAGGGTGGGCATATGACCCCAGGTGGACCCAGCCCTCGAGCTGGCACCGCCTGGACACCCGGAGGTGCTAATGGCCATCTTGCCTCTGCGGTGGCCTGAGATTTTGCCAACACAGAGGAAGGCTGAAGCCAGAGCTGGAGAGAGGCAGGATCCTGACCATATGGTCGGGCAGCTCCCCCCGCCCCCGGCTGCACCTGAATCCTGGACCCGCCCTCTGTGCTCCCCAGTGCCAGGAGCCAGCCCACTGCCTCTGGGGCCCGGCCCGTCTGCCCTGGTGCCTGTCACTGTCCTGGCTGACTCAGAAGCGTCTCCAGAGCACCGCATGCCTGTGCAGGGCACCTCACACCCCTCCCCGAGGTGGGATTGGGGAGCCCACCGCAGATGAGGACACTGAGACTCAGAAAGGGTCTGGGCCACACAGCCAGGGAGGGGAGTCCAGGAGCTCTACATGACACCCCACCTCACCAGTCACCAGGACAGGCCACCTTCTAGCTCCTGAGCACTCCCCCTACCCCCAACCACCCGCCAGCAGTAGCACAACATGCAGGGCAGCATATGGAATGGGGCCAGCAGCGGGCCAGTGTCCCGGTGGTCAGAGCATGGGGCCTGGGTTCCAGTCCCAGCCCTGCTGCTAGTGCCCCTTGTGACCTCGGCAGGGCACACTGAACCCATATCACGGGGGTGTGGGAGGGTGAAAACATTCCTGCCCTGGC